ATCTTTTCCTTTATTTATTTTTTCTCCTTTTTCCTTTTAATCAAGTATCCCCTATTTGTCACGGACCACCATCACACTCTGCACAAATACACATAGACATATAGACCATCATCATCTTCATTAGTTTACCTTTCCACTCACGCTTGTAATGCAGGTTTTGGAGCCTCCTTTGCTCCTCTTCAGAAAAGGTTCCAACTCTTCGAAACTCACCATTTTTTTTTCCTAAAGAAAAAGTGACGAGGAAAAGAATTTCTTGGAGTTAGGTTAATGCTTTGGGCAATAAATGTGCCCACTATTTCCTAAATTAGCTGAACCACATAGTTTGTTCAGGATTTTGCAGCCTCCGTTGGAAATGGAATGGAATAAAAATATTTTGTCAAGTTTGTAATAAAAAGTTATAATGTATTTTTTAAAATTTAACACAACAATTACAATTTATCACATCTACTTAAACTAATCAAATATATTAATTATAGCACAATAATCAAAATACATTTCCATCCATTTAACGATATTATGAAAATGGAAACATGTTTCTAAGAACATGAGTATGGGAACATGATCTCTACTTTGACCATTTTCTACCCCAAAAATAGCTTAGGGACCCATATGGACCATTTCCATGGCTTTTTCTATGAGTTGGAGTGTAATTATAATCACCTTGAAGCCGCAAAATCTCACGGGCTAGGATTTGAAATTTCCGAAACTGTGGAGATGAGCTGTTAGGGTCCGTATATCTTTCACACACTTAGAATAATAATGGCCAACATGACCTTATGGAGACAAGTCTTACATTACATAGATAGAGACAAAAGATATGGATATGAAGCTCTCTGGCACTTAGCTGCCAAATAAAAAATGGCGTCACTTTTTTAACTCAAACTCGACAATCTATATTAAACAAATAATGATTAATTAAAGATCACAATTTATATTTAGAATCATATTAATGTATTAAAAAATAGATTATGTGGATGTGTTTGACAAATTAACAAAGTGACATATCTTTCGCAAGGAGTTTGTTTTCTATTTATTAATTTTTATTTATAAATATAAAAATTAATATTATTTGTGATGCAGTGATCTTATATACAAATTTTTATTCTTTTATTGGGTTTTTTTCCTTTTTTTTATAAAAAGGTTAATTATATTTTTAATCTTTTTAATTTAAAATATGTATAATTTTAATAATCTTTACTTTTTTTAATTAATTAAGTATTTTTAATTTCAAAATTTAATAGATTTTGTCCTTCGTTAATTTTTATTTATCTAAAACTCTTAAATTTTTGTTTTTTGCTCAAATTTTTTACAAATTAAATTGATAAATTTATTTATTTTACTTAAAACTAACCTATCAACATATCAAATTGCACAAAAAAATATTTTTTCTACTTTAAACTCTAACACTATATTTTATAAATTCCTTTAAATTTAATAAAGAGATTTACTAAATTTTTTATGAAATTTTAAAATTATTTAATGTTATAATTCCATCACAAACTCTTCCAAAAATTACGAAGAAAATAAAGTTTTAAAGATTTTAAGCGAAGAAAATTAATGAAAAGACTAAATTTGCGCATAATCTTAAAAGTAACATAATGTAATTAACATAATAATGTAAACTTATAACTTATTTAAGAATATATAATTTATTTATTTTTATCAGTAAAATAATTGAGTTGTTTGATAAATATATCTTTTAAATAACTTATAAAAACTTATTTTAGGTAGCATTTCCTTTATGAAGAGTGCTTGAACTATACTTTTTAATATATTTTTAATACATTATGAATTATTAGTTAAAATTTATTAAAAAAATAATTAAATTAAGAGTGAAAAGGAGTAAAATTTACAATTTTTAATAAATTTTAAACAAAAATTATGAGTGTGGTAAAAAAAAGTTTTGCGAGCATTTCTTTTTATTAGAAGTAATTACCAATATTTTATTATTATCTTTAATCTGTTGAAAAATTTATATTCACATAAAATAACTTTTAACTCCTTTTTAGTCATTTAACCTATCAACCAACTATATATATGGTTTTATTTTATTAAAACAACTCTAATCAATTACTTGATTATAAACACCAAACTTTTAACTACAAGATATAAACTTTTACTACTTGTTAATTATAAATTATAAAATTTTAATTAATTTGATCAAAGTAATAGTTTAAATCAAAGAAACTAAAAATCCAATTTAGAGAATAAAATAGTGTGGGGGGCCAAGGACACTTGTGCCAAGTTGCATGGCACATACTTTATCTTATTATTAAACGAATATCCCATGCATTCAAAAATTCTATATTAAAGTTCGGATGTCAAAAGATGTAACGTCCCTTTTGGAGCATAAAATGCAATGCAAAACACATATACCCGTGATGAGATACCAAAAGTGTAAAAATTTACCTGGGTTATATCATCTAATCAGTAAACTTTACTGCTTATAAGATCAATGACATTATGACATATATTGTTGTAAGAACTATCTATACATTATACAATTTAATAAATTTGTCATACAATGCTTTTACCAACTAAATTAACATTACAAATTAATGTACAAAATAGCGGCAATCGTGATTCTATATCATTCCACCACGACTCACGGGTGCCTCCTACCCTCTCTTTTTAATAACATCAATACCAATCATCAACTAAAAGTTAAACCCATGCATGATTTATATATGCAGAGAGATTTTACTGTCTTTATTAAAATATTTATAGAATAACATTGTCGCTTCTATCATATAGGTTATCTTGTTTCCCTTCCCGTTAACGGTACTGTTGAATATCATTATGAGCATCACTGCAATCTTTTTTCTTTTTTAACTTTGCATTATTTATTTTACTATGAACTCTTCTATTCACGTTATTATCTAGTTTTTTTATTATTAAATTTAATTTATTTATCGTAATAAAACTTTTTGAAGCATTCTGTTTGGTAAAAGGTTTTATACTTTTTTTTTCACGAATGTCTATAATTAATTATAGTTAAAAAAAATAAGTAATTAGAAATTGTTACAAATTTTTATTATTTTTTTACATATCATTTCACAAAATTTCATTTACAACTTTAACACTTTTATGAGTAAATATACAAGTTAAATTTTGAAAAACGTCATTAGTATAAGCATCTTACAATATAAATGTCGATTTGATATACACGAAAGCTTTCAAAGGACTACACTTTTATACACCTATATTAAAAATAAACCTTAAAATAAACAAATTATCATTTCATTTTATTATTCACGAAACATTTTCCAAAAGACTATATTCTTTTGGAGATTAAATTATATATTTTACCCTTTTTAATATGTATTTACCAGCCTTTTTACGATGAACATCCGAAAAGTACACAAAAGTAGAGTCACATTAGAGTGATATCCCAACTGGTTAGTTCAAAGACGAGCATACCAGCTAGTCAACAACAATGTGAGTCCATCGCATCTAACTACATAACAATATTGATATGGCTCACCAAATGCAGGGCGTTTTGTTCAGTGTAACAGTGTAGATCTCAAAGTCAATGACAGATTTTATTGTCTGCTTTGTTAAAGGTGATGCAGAATTAGCCCCCCAATAGACATAATAAAACTTAATTTGTAATATGTGCTCCTGCTGCATCGGTGATCCCATGATGTTCAGTCACTGAAACTCCTGATATTATGGATTGAGGCTCTTGTTTCTTTTATGCACGAAAGAAAATGACATAAGAAGTCTCTACATAAATATTATCAGCATATATAAGTGACATGCTCATTTGCCTTACTCAAAACCCTCAATTATATTCTCCATTATTGTTTCAGAGGGTCTGTCAATATTTTTTTATAGAGAAATATATATACATATATTAATTACAGACGAGATTAATGCTATCCCGTACCCATATGTATATTTTTCACAATACAAAATAGAGAAATATACCAAAACCATTAAACAATTCATTGCAAACCAATATACGCATAAATCTTTCGCCATCTATTTAATTATTCCAATTAAATGCATGTGCAAACAAAATTATTTTTATATAAAAGTAAAAGGAGTAAATTTAAATTATATAGCCATACATATATAATTAATAATAAATTTTCTGAAATCATTTAATTATTTTTAAAAAATTTAAAAATTTATATATGTTAATCTTAATTATTCATAATAAGATTTAATGATTAATATTTATTATTCTTATTCTCAAATAAGAAAAAATCTCTCCTTTAATATGTGTCTTGTATAGACATAAGTGGGAAGTTTTTGGCTCCTAATTAATATATTCCACGATAAGGCAATTAATAATTATCCGACGGAACTAAAAACTAAAGTAGATAAACATTTGCATTGGAATGTTAAAGAAAAAGGAAAAGAAAACTAGTAAGCCAATTTTTGGTAGTATAGCTAACTGGAGATCGAAAGCTGTCGAGATAAAGATAGGACATAGGTAGTGATAACAACAAAAGACTAATAATAATTTAATTGCATGTGACATTTTCTCTGTTGCATACTGACAAGAAAGGCCACCATTGCTTCTCTTAACTCCATCAACACACATACATGCGCACACACACACACAGAGCCTGAATTCCTCCTCTCTTGTGTTACTATATTTAATCTAACAAAATCACCTAAGTATGATTAATTTATGAAACAAAAATGCAAATTCATCTGCTTCTGTGTACGCCTTAGAAACTGAAGAAATCATTTTTATTTACGTGTGCACACAACCAAATTTATATTTTATATAGAAGAAGAGGAACTTCATGATAATTGATATTTAAAAATATTTTTTGTACATTTTAAAGAGACATTTTTTAGATACTGCTTTTATTTCAAGAATGTGTATATTTATATAAAATACTATATATGATATCCCGTACAATATCACTTTTTAGTTATTAAAGTAATAAAACTAGATAATAAAACACCAAAACAACTGAAATAAAGCATGACACTTAATTGAAATTGAAATTAGAAGAACAATAACAAAGTTTTGAAGTCTGAAGAGGTAGTAGCAAAAAATATAATGAGGTGTTAAAACGAAAGCACATGATGATTCATGATTGAAGAGTCATGGCACACAGGATTGCCTATTTTACCCTCGTATCGTGAAATTATTCTCTTGTTTCTGTCAACAATTCCCCCACGTCTCGGGGGCAGTGGTTGTCCCAAGGAAACCAAAGCGTTGTTGGGGCTTCATCAGCGCGTGATGGTGATGTTGAGAGTGAGGTTGGTGGTACTCTACACCCCCCGTGAACGTCAGCATATCCTTCACGTTCATGCTAACGTCAACGGCGCCGCCGTTTCCTCCGTCAACTCCACCGTTAGCATCTCCCGTGAGTCCCAGAAAGTCCCGAGTGAGACGGTCACTCTTGAGGCTCCGAATGGGGAACCCTCTCATGTAATCTGGCACCACCGGGTCGAGTTGACTCAGTGTTCCGAACTCGCCCGTGCCGAGCTGAGTCACGTGACACATTGACCGGTGTTGCCCGACACCAACAGCAGCAGGGCCCGGGCCCAGGCCCGTGATAGCAGCGGCTCCAACTGTTGCAGCCTTTTGAAGCAGTGCAGTGGCTGACATGTATGCTGACGTGGCAGCGCTGGGCACGTGGAGGTTCCCGAAGGTTGAGGTTATCATGCTCTTGTTGGGAGGTTGTTCATTATGTGGTTGTTGAAGGAGTGGTGAAGGAGAAGAGGGTGTGGGGTTGTGAAAATTTTGAGCTTCTGGTTTGATGTGAAGGGCAGTGGCAATGTTGCTAGGGTTAGGGTTTTCTTGAGATGAATCCCAGTGGTTGAAATTGGTGATTTGGTGGTTTTGGAAGTTTTGTTGGGTTTGGAATAGAAAGAGAGATTGAGCTAATGGGTTTGTTGTGTTGGTGGCTACTAACTGGTTTGCTGATATTCTTGCACTTTCTTCTGCCAATGCATCACAGAATGCCCTATGAGTAATGAAGCTATCCTTCCTGCGGTTTTCACATCATAAATCATGAAATTTCGTATTATCAGTATAGTTGAATAACAAGATCAATGTTATCCTAGATTTTAGCTTTCTACACTAAGAATGTAATATTGATTTTGCTATAATTTAATTTATAAAATACTTTAATTAAAATCTAAGTTGAATACTGGTTATTTCTTTATTTTGGAAGAGTAACTTGAACAAGTACTTAATTGTGGGAGAGAATTTTATTTTAGGGGATCAATTGTTTCTTGGAGTACGGACTATGGAGTCCCGTTTGCAAAAGGTGTGGGAAATCATGCATGGGAGGGCGAGTCCACAGGGAATGAATTGTCAAAGGCTTGGACCAAACGAGATACTATGTCGTTGTTGGGTCAAATTTAAAGTAGGAGAGAGAAATTATATATTGATGGACACACGCTTATGCTTTTGTGCATGCAGAAATGGCTATACAATTATATTGGCTCCAAATGTTGAAGATTATTGCTTATTAGTGCCACACATGATGTCAAAAGATAGCTAGCCTTTGGAAACTAGAGCTCATGCAGGACATGCATATGGAATTGAAATAGATCCCATGTATTCACTGATGAAGTTAGAAGAAAGAAAGCAACTTGGCATACCAGATATTTTTGCAGATTTATCAGATTTCACAATGATGAAAATTCAGAGAAACAATGCACAGCATTCTCAATAAAACAAAATTAAGAGTAGGAGAAAAGTCAGAAATCATCACCAATTGTTTCTTGTATTGTTTTTTAAGAAGACAAAAATAAATCTCCTTCGTCATTTTTGAGTATATGCAGCCACTTGCACACGCGCAAATGTACATAAAGAGAGAAAGGGAAATTACAAATATTATTCTAGAAGACAATTGAGCACTGTCTGACATACTGAAAAATTTTGTATGTAGCCTAAAATATCATGAAGCGAAGATTTATACTTTTTCATGGCTATTATAATGCTCAAATAGTATCATATCATGCCCTTTATATATGTGCATGCATTACAATGTTTTTCTTTTGTAAAATATAAATAAATAAAGATCAAAATTGCTATTGAGTCACAGACTACACAGTAGATAAAACAAAAAGATACGTGAATTGTGCTTTTTTTGTTATTGCCACATATTCATTTGGCAGTTTTAGGATTCAGAGAGAAGTAAGGTTTCAATCTCTCGCAGTAGAAGCATGTTGTCCCACTTTCGTGCTACCTATTACCATTCTTATATTCCAGGGCAAGTCCATACCATTCTTATATAAAATCAAAGATCCACTGAAAAATAAAAATATTAAGAGGGGCCTAGTGATATAAGATGAAACATAACTTAAAAAAAAAAATGTGTGCATGTATGTTCAATAATAAGTGAAGTCAAATAAAATGGTTGTAAAACCCATCAAATTAATGAAAAGATTTATCAAGAAAAAGAAGACGATTGGTTTCAACTCAAGTAAAACATTAATACTAAAATATGAACAGTTTAAAATTGTCAGAGAAACAGAAATAGTATAAGTGAAAAGAAAAAATTAATTAATTATTACCTGGAAAAAAGGGTTCCACAATCACATCTATATTCTCTAGTACCACAGGTTTTAGAGTGAGCTTTCCAATCTGACTGAACCGCATATATCTTGGAGCACTTTTCACATTTCCACTTCTTCTCTCCATGCTTTCTACAGTAGTGTTTCTTGATTCCTGTAAGATCCCCAAGAGCCCTAGAGGGGTTGTGGTGAACGCATGAAGGCTCAGGGCAAACGTAGGCTTTCTTTTTCACCTCCTTGCTGTTCCTTTGCTTCAGCTTCCATGGGAGGTTATGACCCCTCCTATGAAGCTGCAGGTTCTGATCTCTCTGGAAACCCTTGTGGCAGATCTCACAAACAAATCTGTTGGTGGCTAAAAGGGTCTTTGGGGATAAGGCAATCACTTCAGCATCTGGGTCTGAAACACACACACCATCACTTAAACTGATCCAATTGAAGGGACAAGTCACATAAAACAAAAAGCTTATTAATTAATTGTCAAGTTCAAAGTACCTGGATTACCAGGGAGGCTTCTCTTTTTCTTGATCTTTTGAGGTTGCTGAGGACAAATATTTGAGACCACGTGATTGAGTCCACCCAAGTCCTGAATTTTTGTTCCAGAAGAAACACTAGCATCCTCGGACAAAGAAGTTGAATTGGAAATAGCTGTGGGAAACATGTTGCCTTTGAAGAAAAACTCCAAGAGGAAGGGAATGAAAAAGAAGAAAAGCAAGATACGATGTTATATTCTGTTGTCTTGGTTTATTTGTTTGTTTTCCAAATCCTAGCTACTTGCTACTTTGGTTCTTCTACAACTACAAGTAGCCACTTTTGCACCTTGGAAGACAACAAGAAAATAAGCCTAGAAGTGCAAAAATTGTGGTTTTAGACACAACTAAAACTAATTGAGGAGGGGGGCTTGGTAGTGAAGTGCAAGTGGCTGAGACATGTAGAAAGAGAAAGGCATCATTGATTCACTTGATGGTAAAAAGAAAGCTAAATTAAATCTCGTGAAGAGAGGATATGTGATGATGGTGTGGGTGTGGTGGGTTATTTTCCAAGTCGCTATCTAAGCCATGGATTGCTTGTCTGAGCAACTCTGAACAACCATTTCAGACATATCTCTTTTCTAGTCTCTCTCTGTGTATCTGTGTGTCTACCTATGTGGAATTGATCAAAAGAAACCACCATGCAATCAAAAACATGGAAAAGTTGAAAATATTTGTTTAACTTCCTTAATACAATCTCAGTTCCTAAATAGGACCTGGCATCTTTTTCCTTTCCTTTTCAAGAAAAATAAATTATTTGTGTATACTAATTAAGAGAGGGAAGAAAAGATGAGGAGAGAAATATAAATTCAATGTCTCTGGGTATTGTAAATACTAAATAATAGAGAGGAGAAGAAAAGGTGATGATGACAGTGGCAGACTGTGGAAGAAGAGGTGACAAAATGTAAAACACATCGAAAATGTTTTGTTTTGTTTTGTTTTGTTTTTTTAAAAGAAACTTGGGTGAGGTAGGAAAAAGGCAAGGTAGTGGAATTCTGGAGAGAGAAAGCTAGAGTGGACGATGCAGTGGCAACGCGGCAGCGCAAATACTGGAAAGTATCTTAACTCATGTCACTAGCTAGGCAAAATTTCAGCTTTTATTTAAATCAATAAAGTTTTCTTCATTTTTTTGTACTATTCCTACATTTCATTTTTTTAACCAAACTTTCTATAAATGAAATTTCGGCGAGTAAAGTTTTGTCTACGATAAGAATTGTAAACTTAACACAACATTGTAATTAATGAATTTTTCCGAAGGTTAAAATTCATTTCTGTTGTGATGTTGCTATATTTAAATTAACCGATCTTTGTATTAATAAATTATTGAACAATATTATTCTTGTAATACTTTTCGCATTCTTTTTTGTTAAGAATAAAATATATGAAAACAAAATTCAAGTTTTCTTATTAAAAAAGGAGGTAAAAATGGTGTGTGGAAAAGTAATCTTGGATCATTATTCTAATTAAGGTTTATTTGAGCAGGGCTCTGACGTGGGCACTTTCTGGCTTTTCTTTTGTTACCGTAATAACTAGTATGACACCCAAATCCCAAAAGCGCCTTGAGATGAATGGAATGATTATAAAAAAGAGAGACATATTGCTCATCAACTGGCTCATGAGAATGACAAGCTTTTGCAATATTATTTTAAAAAAAACAAAATAGAATGGGAAGCTAGCTAGAAAAGCTTGTGAAAGGTGATTTGCGTGAGATAACCCCACAACCCACATGATTGATTCATTGATTGACGTTCAGCTTATTTACAGTACGTGTAATCTGACAATTATCATATTACACCTATTTTTATTTTTAATAAAAAAGCGTTGTATGAAATTAATATAAAAACTAGTTTGGCATAAAATTCTCTTAAACTATATGTTGCTTAATTAATTGTTTGTAAAAGCCTTTTGAGTTGTAATGTTCTTAATTTTTTTTCTCTGATAAACAGTGGTTCACAAGACATCAAAATAGCTTGTTCACTCTGTCATTTATACACACTTTCCCCATGCATGATTATCATTTTGTTCTTGGGATTTATATAATGTCTAGTAATTGTTTGTGGATATATTCTTAAGTATTTTACGTCCTCTTCTTGGTATTATTCTCCTACGTCCAGTGTATGGAGAAAGTGCTAGCTGAAGCAAGGAAACCCCCCACTCACTAGAAATTGCAAATGTCTCTTTTCTTTTAGTACCACTTTCCAATCTCCCTTTATTCCAAACCCAAATCTTAAGCTATGGAAGCATTGCAACAATTGTCCATTTTACCCATTTCGTTGACTAAAACCAGGTAAGGTTCGCTTACTTTAGGGGCCATGCGTGGCTACTGCCAACTACGATAGCAGCAACCATGCAAATTAACCAATGACCATTCCACAAACCAAACCACAGGTGTGTAGGAAACAGGACCCGTCACGAATTAGACCTTTGCAACTACGCATATGCAGTTTCAGATTTGTTCATATATTTATCTTTTGGAATCCTATGTGGGTTCTTTATATCCAAGCTTTTGGAATCTGCTGGAATTAGGATTATATTCATCTCTCTCTTTAGTTTGTTTCTTCGAGGCATTAGAAAATTATGTTTATGCTTAAAGGAATCGCTTTAGAATAATGATTATGAGATTGTTGAAGTTAATAGAGCCATGAATTTTGAGCTCAAAACTAGCTATCCTTGTTAGCTAAAATAAATAATAATCTTCATATAGTGACCCAAGTCCATTTTTTATCAAACTTTTGACAAGAAATATCAACTCTTCAAAGTTGGTCTACTGAGTTGCATTAATTCTCCCCAAAAATCTTGCAGGGAATTGATAAATTGACGTGGAAGTTAGTTAATTTAATTTGTTGGAAACTCTGAGTAAGATTTCTTCAAGATAATGATGGCTCATGGATGGATGACCTTTCATTTTAACCATTTAATTAAGATCCTCATTTGAAATGAGGGCGCCTAACTTTTGTCATTTTATGTAGAAAATTCTGTATTTAATTTAATTACTCTAAAAATCAAGGCGTGCTACCAAGATTACAAGAAAGCATTTTTCCTCTTTTTAGGTGTAATAGGAAATCCATATATAGTTTTTTAAAATTAAAAAATTAGGTTAGGGAAAAACTCATTACGTGCAAAATTAGCCTAGTTTTTTTTGCATGATCAGAAGACTGATCTGGTAAGTCAACTCTCCTTTAGCAAAAATCCATATAAAGCCAATTCTATGGAATAAATGTGGATCAAACGCAATCCCTATAATCCACATAAACTAAATTTTTTTTTCTTACAAAAATAAACCTGAAGAAAAAGGCCAAGCTGAATTTAAACACACTAATTCAAAAATCAGTGCTTACTCAATCTATGTGGAACATGCAAGCCAGCCACGGAAATAACATATTCATGTGTAAGTGAAAATTACCCTATGCCTATACTTCAAGCTTCCAAATAACACACTAATCCGGCCCACACTGTTACATAAACAAAGGTTATGGTAACAATCTTGTAATTGTTTCATTGTTTCTTGGCTTCTTAATTTAAATTTTTATCTAAATTCTTACAATTTATTGTAGTCACGTACTGTGTAGTTCTCTGCAATATTCTGCAAAGAAAGAAAGAGAAGGTGAGGGCCGTGAGGCATATTGATGAGTGGAAAAGAATACTTCATCTCCATGCGGGCCATACATTATTCACGGGTGCTTCTATTTGTAGATTCTCGCGTCATCTTATATGAAATTTCCTAGCTTCCTTGCTTGCCAACCGACGGTTCCATGAAAGGATAATGGGATAAACGCATCCACATTTTTAGTTTATTCTACTTTTTTCATTAAATGTATTTCATAGTGATATCAAGAAATAAAAATTAGCAACGTAAGTTTTATCTTTCTCGATAAGATAATTAGCAAAGTAAGCCTTAATTAGGAATCACAAAAGCTATTTAAGCCACCTCAACCCGCTGCGTCCTATCAATATTCTATTAAAAAAATAGTTAAGTTAACTTGTCTCGTTTTTTATAAATAGCTTAAACACATTAGCCAGTTTCATTTTAATATGGCAACACAAGTTGACAGATAAGCTCAAATAAGAATTACAAAATAAATTAAATAAAAAAGAAAAATACAATAAAGTAAAATATATATAAATATGAAAGTTTCATTTTCATAACTGATTAATATTAAAATTATTTTTATTATTTATTAAATTTATGTGCGTAAAAATTAAAAGTACAAAAAGATATTTTTTTGTTTTTAATTATAATTTAAAAATAATCAATCGGACGGCTAAACCGTATTTTAAAAGGGTTAGGTGGGGCAAGTTAATGGGATCTAAATTATGCACTTATCCCATCAAAATAAATGAGTTATATGGATACTGGACAGGTTGTGTAGTTTAACGCGTATACTATCATTTCTAGCCCCAATTAACATGTTTAATAGACTAAAATAGACCCTTTTTTAATTTGAAATTTTAGAATCAAATGATTGACAATGATCAAAAGAGGGATAAGAATTAAGAGAAATAGGAATTATACTAGTGAGACAAAGAATAATTTATCCATAGAGCCTGAATGGTCCACCTGTTTCAAATAATTCAAATAGATAACTTTTATATTATATAAACACTTACTATAATAATAAAAAAAACATTGGTTTTATTTGAGTCCACATTTTAATTATAATTTAATTTAAATATATTTACAATGTAAAAAAATTGCACTATCACTAAATTATAGATAGTAGACTGTTATATCAATAAAAATTGTTAATTTTTATAATAATTAATATTACATATTCATGATATATTCTAATTCATTAACCGTGTAAAAAATTTTAGATTAGTAGTACACTAAAACTGAACTCTTTAATTGTCACACGATAAATTATATGACGATACAAAATTTAATGCATTTACATATAATATAAATAATACTCTTGGACGCATATTAAAAAAATCAAACTTTTATTTGTCAGTGAATAAGGATAAAAATAATTAAAATTACTTTTTTTAATCTCATGAAAAATTATGAGGGAGAGCTGTGTAGTAAAATTGGAAACTCAAGTATAGTTTAGTTTAAGCAGATTATTTGGTGAAGTAGCAGTGATTATAGATGTGTGCTGATGTTGTGGGGGAAACATGGAGATGCTTCTCCCCGTGTCTCGTGCTCCTTTTTATGCTTCACCCTTTCTTCTTTGCTTTACTAAACAAGCTAACAATTCAACTGTACCTTCTGCACAATTTCAAAAGGCCAAAGCGAAAATGGTAGAAATTATTTATTTTTACACAAAAACCGCATTACAAACCAATCTTCCCTGATTGCTGTCAAATGCTTTTTCGTTTCAATTTTACATCTGTCTAATGAAAAAAACATGCACGTAGATTCGTATTTAACTAGTGCAATTGATTTTGTACTTTCTAGCTATCCTTGTTTATTTTACCGATTCACGTCACTTTTCAAGGCGTGTATGTATATATATAGGTTGCATTGAAAATTAAGCCAACACTTTTCAAGGTATATAGGTTGCATTACAAAACCAACATGCGACTGTGCAAGTACATTTTCTAAATTAGCTGATACAGATATTTTAGAAGATATTCAGAAAAGTAATTATTCCCTTTAATTAATCAAACATAACGTAAATTTGTGCATTCTAGAATATAATCTTCAAAGTTGACGTAAAAAATATTTATACGACTCTGGTGATAGCAAATGAGAAAAATGCTAAGTGACCTGTGGTCCTAATTTCAAATCACAGCAAATATAATTATGTTAAATATTTAAAGAAATTTTTTTATCACTTATAATAATCTTAGTTAGCTCAATAAGATTATTTCCAATAAAAATTTCTGTAGTTTAGAAGAAAAAAAAAAGATAAATATTAAAAAATAATTAAAGAAGTAGAGTGTGACATATAAGATAAAAGATGTGGACATAATAATGAGAGAAAGGACAATAAATGAACATAAAAATTATTACTATTCATTACTTATTAAATAATGTAAAATAACAATTTTCTCCTAAACTTCCTCGCTTTCACGGTGGAAAATTTGATTAATTATACTGCGACTACAATATCAACTTTGTATATATATATATATCAACTAGTGTAATTACAAACTGTGCAATAAAAAAATTAAGGATAATAACAGAAAAAAAAAGAGTTTAATTTTGATGTCATGTTTGTATAAAGATTTTTTTATTAATTAATTAAAATATACTGTAGATTTAATTTTTATATTCATTATTAGAAAAGATTATAATTTTTTTAATATAAAAATATATAATTAATTGAAAGTGAAAAATATTTATATCATTGCATTTAAATTAAATTAAAAATATCTTTTGCTAATTAAAAAATGTTAATGTGTTACAACTGTGAGCAAAGAATTCAAAGGTCAATACTAACAAATAATTGCATTATACTAACATTTATGTATTGGTAAATATATATTAATATTTTATTTAAATAAAATCATTTATTAGTATAATAATTATATTATTAGTATAAAATCAAAGCTTTTATATTAATAATTTAATTTTTGTCAGAAAAAAAAATTATAGTAGCTACCAATAGTCAATTCAACATTAAGTTTGATTGTTTTAAAATTTCCAAATCAATTCTTATGCTTTTAAGAAAAAAAAATACACGTTTCAATAAAAATGTGTAATTTACATTAATTTATACACTATCTCAATTATATTAATAGCTCAAAATCAATTTTGAACAAAATACTAAATTATGATGAATTAATAATATATTTATATTTTTCTAAATAAACCAAAAATATTATTATCTATTAATATAAAATTAATAATTATTATTACTCTACATATAAAAAATATAAAATATCTTTTTAATTTATAAAGCATCGTAAAGATTAACTTATACTAATTGATTTGTGACTTGTAGATAAACATTTGTCTGGACTAAAAGGTAGTGGGTACGTTTCCTTCTTTTTGGTCGGAGACAAGGGTTTCCAAAAAGGCCTTGCTTTTCATACAGCCCATTTTAACTGTATCTCGAAGCAAGCCATCCTATTTATATATATTTTATGTGAGAGCGACAGAAGTATATTTAGACTGTATAATATATATTGGTAATTATGATTATATAATTTGAGATCTCATGTAATCACTTAAAGGATTTCATAACTTTTTAATAGAATATGTGATAGAAGAGAAAAAATCAACACAAAAAAAAAAGTAAAAAGTAACTTTTAAAATATAAAATTATACTTGTTTTTAATCCTTCTCGCACATTTTTGAATTTATTCTTATATATGTCTGATAAAAGTATTAAACTCAAAAAATATAGAGAAAAAAGCGAGAAAAATACATAATCCATATATATATATATATATATATGGAGTGAGAATATTTTTTTACACTAATATAAATTTAAAATTTTTATATTTATTTAAATTTTTTATTTAAGTTATATCTAATAATTAATAAAATAATATATTATAATATATTAAATGTAAATTAAATAAAAAATTCATACGAGTATAAAAAATTTTAGAATAACAAATATTTTGAGAAAATTTAATAAAACTTAAGTGATGTGACTAATTTTGTCACCTACTTTTTCCAATTTGGTCATTACATATATAATAGCATGACATCCTTGACTATATGAATATATTCAAAGAATTGCAACTTTGCCACTGAGTGGCAAGTAGGTTTTCCCATAATATAAATTGGAATTACAGCACTGGAGGATATAGATAAGCCATTACATGAAAAGTTTAAGATATAATGTGCCATGATTTGTTTTAAAATTTTCAAATATCTATAAAATAAAATATCATCATCATTAATTAATAGAAGAATCACGCCTAAAAAATAAAGCACAATAAGAAAAAAAAAATCACTCTCTTCTCTTACAAGGTGTGTACCCTTCAAGATATACGAAATTTATTTATTTTTATTATTAATTGTAATCAATTTAAAGAAATTACTTCAAGTCATACGTACTTTAAATCGATTACTGAATACATAATTGACGTTCTAAATCAAGCATAAGAGTCTTGCAATTTTTTATTTTTTTTTATTTTTTTTGAGGAATTTTGCATTCTCTCAAATTAAACTTTTCCAAGTTAAGGTTGAGCGCAAACGGTCCCAACGAGCATATGTTTATAGAGGCGAACCCATAAACAAAAATGGCAGTTGATAATTAATCATAAAGATATTTCACCTTATATATTTCAACTTTTGAAGAAGTTAAATAAGAAAACTTTTTAAAAATTGAGATACATAAGTTAATTTTAACTTTTTAAGGAAATTTTCTTTATTTTAACTCTATTATTTTTATCCAAAAAATTATCTAAATTGAATTTAGCAAGCATAAGAATCAAGTTAACTCTAATTAACAATAGCCACAATCCGTATCTATGGAGCTGCTTTCAATTTTGTACTTTTCAACTAGATTGTGGAGTTGCTTGCATAAATTAAGGTTGTTTGGCATAGATAGTAGAGAAATATGAAGGAAAAAAAAAAGTAATACCCGTAATAAGAATAAAGAATTTAACTGGTGATGTGTTTAGAAAACATCATCATATTATTTTGGATTCATAATACTTATATTCATAATGCCTGCATTGTCTCCATCTGTTTGGGAGGGTGGATTGGAGCCTACTCAAAATTGGGTTTTCCTATGACAAAGATAGATGAAGGATCACTATTGGTTGTTTAAGGACATCTGAGTCGAAAGCCATTGGTCAAGTAGATTTTTTTTCTTTGGAATTTTAATAATTTTGTTGTTTACTTGCATGATGTGCTTCCCTTTGTCTTTGCCATGTATGTACATTGCACGACACAAATGAAGAACGAAAAAGACAAGAAAAACAATTGTCCACACAAACACGAAGATAACATAAATAAAAGCCACATACATTCATATGACCATAAGCAAGATTAATAATATGAGATCATCTGGTAAATAAGATTTCCCTTGTTTAGTTTATATATGGGATTCGATTATAATACATTTTTGTCATTAATTAGCCCAAATTTGTGAACCAGCCCATTTGGCATGCGAAAAAAGAAGAGAAAGAAACGTTTCAGATTTTATTGTTTACTTATATTTATCTACTCGGCCTTATATCACTACTTAATGCATGCAGCATATTAAAATTTCTTCACAGATAGGAAACTGCTTATCAGGAAATCAATTTTGATAGAATCTATTAAATTGCATATTATAATCCCACTCAAAAACTAATTTATTGCACAAAAGCATACATTAAAAATATTCATTTGAAGACAAATAATAAAAACCGAGACGTTATGGATATGAAAGAAATCCAATATTATTATAACCATTGCAGTAATATTTAAGGCTTTCAATATATCTATACACACTAAATTATGGAGCACGTATTGTAACTTTTGTGTGCTTATTATCATTTTTATTTATTTATTTTATATAAAACACTCTTATAATTAATATGATTATAAAAAAAATGGTATTTAGATAAAGATTGCATAAATAAAAATGGTAATAATTTTTTAAAAGTGAAAATAAACACACCCAAAATCATAATCATTGTCTTCGATCATGACTAATCATTATTCTTAAAGGAATTTGCTTTAGTTGCCTTTTAATTAATTGTATATATTGATAAGTATCACAAATACAAACTAGCCTTATAGATAGACAACTCTTAATTTCAAGAAGTTGCATTCGACAAACTACCAGGTAAAAATGTGAATAGGTATACAATGTGAAGTAATATAATAAATTTGACAAAACAATGTAAAATCTTAAATAGAAAGCTGCAAAATGGTTGTGTTCCGTAAAGGAATTAACATCACATAAGTTAGATAATTAAGAGTAAGAAAAAACAAATTTATGATGCTAAAAAAAAAATCAAATTCAATCGTTATTAAAAGATGATAATACATTTTTTGAAAAAACACAACTTGTTTTAATGGATAAAACTGTTGTCAGTAATAAAATATTACAAATTAAGATAAAATAACTTTATTAATTGATCACATGGTAGATGTTAATACATTACATGAAACTTAATAATAAAAATATTAATTTATCAACATTCCTGAAATCGAACAACGGAAGCAAAGTAAAGGAGAAAAAAACGGTATATATAAAAGGTGAAATAAGTCAGAACTACAAGATTATGCATTAGCATAAGAAAGATATATATAGCTTGTACGGAGAAATTACAAATTTGAAATATAAAGGTCTAAGAAAGACACAAAAGGAGGAAAAAAATTACCATTGGCTACTTATTAATTTTAGGGAAAACTGAAGCAACAAAATCCTAATAAAAGAGAGGATTCATGGATGGTTGATTTTACGTTCTCTTAAACGTACCAAAAACAGGAAAAATGAGATAATGAATACTCTTCAAGGATTTTGAATTTGCTCTTATTTATTTACTATGTTATTAGACTCTTATTTTTATAATTTTGAGTAATTTTAAGGTGAAAATGATAACTTCAAAGAAAAATGTCACTTTTTTAAAACTTCAAGTCATTAGTCAAATTCATATGAATTAGTTAATATGATTCCTGATTTATAACCTAAACCCTAAATCATATGCTTTGATTACTAGTCATCTAAACTATCAACTAATTGCAATTGACTAGTTCTCTTTAAACCTATCGAAGATGGTTAAAAAGACTTAATTGATTAAACAATGGATGGAATTTTTATTTTTTTTCTTTACTATCCTAAGCATGTGCTTTAAAATTGACCACATTGATGAGTCAAGTATTTAAATTATATATTGATTTGGTCAACATTTTTCAAGTGTTAATATTAAGTTCTTATTTATATAAATTTTAAGTGTGTGTGTGTATATATATACACTTACTCTTGTGCCTAAGGATTTTAGTCAAATTGTAGATGTTAAATTTTAAGTACCTAACACTTAATCACTTTTGTAACTTCAAGAGTCAATATATTTCTAAGACTTTTTGTGTTTGATCCATACTCTAGTAGCACCTAAACTTATATATTTTGATAGAAGTCACTTAAACTATTATCTAGTTCTAATGGACTAAACCTTTCATGCTAACAACGAGCTAGTAATATTTAACCAACTAATTCAGCTTTTGAGTGTAAAAAATAATATGGTAAAAAACAAAATCTTAGTCTCTTCCTGTAAAAATATCACAACGTGAATTGAGCTATTAATAGAAGAGATTTTATTCTTATTAATATTTTTTACAACTTTTTCACTGCAAGGAAAAATATATATATAAAAAGAAAAAAGTAATAAATACAAAAATCAATAACAAGATATTATCAAAATGAAATAACTCAATAAAATTTGATATTAGCAACTTGTAATTTCTCTACTACCTAACTTGTTTCAAAATTAATTTCTCCACTTCATATAACATTTTTTATTATTAAATAAACTTTTACATTTGTTTTAGTAAATAACTGAGTTAACTTTCCATTAAAAGGGGTCGATATGAAATCTATCTCAATAGTAATACATATTAAAAAGAATGTGGAAGGTTGCCCAATCCACGAGTAAGAGGGGACAACAAAAAGAATGGTCACTTTCACTCTTGATCATTCTGCTCTAGACATTTGACACGTTCCGTCTTGAGGAGCCGCAAATGAATTTTTGTTATTTTGTTTTAAGTTTTAAGCGAGAACGGAAACATGAAAACACGAAGATACCTAACAAAATTGTCCCCATGTAACATCATCAAATTCGTCGATGGTGGTCTGGTCTCGCTTTATTTCTGACCACATGACAAAGTCCAAACAATGAAAAAGTAGAAAGTGGGGAAAAAATCAAACCGACAAAGGTAACCACCAACAGGGTCTTGATTCAAAAGCAACATTCAGTTATGATTCTTGGAGATCAGCTACTTCGTATCCATTCTACATCTTCTGAATAATCTACATTCGTTAAGGTAATATAATTAAAACAAGGAAGAGGCAAAGACAATAGCTAGGTTCATGAGATGCATTACGAAGTGGGGGTTTAAGTGGTTAGGAACTAAAGAACATAAAATTGAACCTTGAGTAAATAACGATCATATCACTACCACAGATTCTTGTCCAAGCAACAGCTGCAACCTACCTAATCAAACATAGAGAAAAGTGAGAAATTGAGGTTCTGCCAAGTGCTACAAAAGGACATATAATGGGGTTAGAAACACCAAAAAGTAAATCATTTTATCCTGCTTGGTAATTCTACTCTCTTGCCAATTGGGTTGACTCCACCCTCCTCTGAACCTAGTTAACTAATCAAAAAGGTTTATCTTGATTTCTCTTTGGACTTGAACCCAAGTAACCTAAGCGATTTGCTAACACATTAACATCTTCATCATCCCCTTGAGACGTTGGAATGTCTAATTCACCCTCAAAACTCTCGCTAAACAGTTCTTCCCAAAACCCTTCATCAAGCTCTTTCTCTAGCCTCTCTTGTGATTCTAGTTCCTCATTCTCTTCCTCTTGTTCTCTCCTACCCCTTCTAAAACCTTGCATCTCCATAGCTAGCGCTTCCAACTCTGAAACTTCAAACCCATATTCCCCAAACACTAGGGGCTCAGCTTTAACACTGTTCCTTCTTTCACCTCCACTGCTTGATTCTCCAACACCACGAGGTCCTTGCTCAATTGGCCTTCTCCTCTTCTTAGACATGGCCTCCTCAAGCTCCCTCCTTTTATCCTTTTGTTGAAGTAGCTGCTGTATAAAGATTGGATTTTTCAAAGCTCTAGCTAAGAAAGCCATCATTTGTTGCTGCTTAATTTCTGTCCCTCTTAGCCTTTCCTCCATTGCCTCAAGATAAGACCTTGTGTTCTGTTGCTGCTGTCTAAGCCTCACAAGCTCCACCATTAACACCTGCTTGTCACGCCTCAAACGATCAACCTCTTCATCAAGTCCAAAACGACCAACTTCAACACAGTGACCTTGTGCTTGTTGGGAAGTAGAAGGTTGTGATGGTTGCTTCCTTCTCCTTATGTTTCCCAACAAGTGCCTTTGCCCTCTCAGGAATCCTTCATTTGCAAACTCCCATCTATCAGGATCAATTTTCCTAAAACCCTGCAAAATTTAACCATATTTTTAATTTCATAATCTATAAACCCAACACAAACTCAATAATAATTGCTATAATTGTGATAGGAATTGGACAAAGTGGTAGAGCATGAGAAAAAGAGAAATCTAGAATCCACAAGACGACAGTGTGACTTTAAATTAAATATTCAAATAGTACAGTACCTTATAATAATATATTAATTATTTTAATAATAAAACATGAAAAATTACCACTGTGACTAGTAGGAAATAAATATAAACGACAGAATAGTGAATTATATGACATCATTACAAAAGTAGGGGGAAAATCTTGTTTTTCATTAAAAGGAAACATGGGGCAGTTTCTTAATTGGGTTACTACATACTACTTGTCTTTGCAAGTGAAACAAGCATTAATCCTTCAAAATTGGAAGCCAAAGCAAGTGAAGAAGGGAAAACTTACGTATGTGTTTAGTTGTCTAACAAAGCTTGAGAAATTGTTGTGTTTGAAGTATCTGGGAAGAAGGTCTCTGGAGAAAGCGTGTGGATCCCAAACCACAAAGCTGATACCGCTTCGGCTCCATGAAACTATGTGACTTGTGGTGGGGTCTTCCACTGCATCGAAGGTCTTCGTCAGAAATGGGGGTGGTCCTATGTCATGAAGACCCTCCATTGGCCTTGGAAGAGAAACCATTGATTCTTCATCACCGTCTGTGTAAGACGTTGATGATGATGATGGTTGTGGTGGTGGTGATTCTAAGTACTCTTCTTTCACTGGGTAGAGATAATTCATTTTCTTTTTGGAAAATCAACAAACCCTTTTGGGTTAATGGGTTATGATTTCGATATGTTAATTTTGATTGTTCTAATGATGACGTTGTTTCAGGTTCATGTCTGTGATACGAGGTTTCTTCATTACGTGGAAACAAACTAACGAAAACTTAAACCAAAACAGAGAAGAAAATTACAACTAACAAATGAAAATACATTAAAACAGAGGAGCAATAAGAAGAAGAATATGAAAACAGAGTAAAATAAGAGCGAATGGGATTGGGGGAGTGATTAATCAGTGGAACGTGGGGAAGAAGTGAAGGTTTGGAATTTGGTTTCTGAAACGAGAATGCAGAGGACTCTTTTTCCTTGTATAGAAAGTCGTTTAGACAGTTAATAGAAAAACAGAATGGAGTGTTTGTCATCAATCATACCTATCAAGGAAGAAAGCTAAAGGAGTGTTCTGAGGGTTTATATAGAATAAAGTTAATAGTGGAGAGTGGTAGAAAATAGAATATTATATAGAATAAAAGGATAATTAATAAGAACATTCGAGACATCTTGGAAGCAATATTGTTATTTTATTTAACCCATTTTCCTCAAATAGCAAGTGGGTGTGTTTCTGCCTCGGAAAGTTCTGGAAGTTACAAAGGAAGCACCATAGTGTGGTGGTGGGGAAGGTCTAATATTTATTTTTATTTTTTAATGGTGTGGGATTCACATGTTGGAAGAGAGTGGTTTTGGATGGAAATTGGAATAATGATATTTTTCTAATGTATGATCCGAAATGATAGCAAATTCGACCATATTGCACAATCCGATGTTAACATATATACAAGAAGCCATTTGGATGATTAAAATGAAAACCACAATTTATGGAAAGGGTTTCAGAAATAGAAAAACGAAAAAACCCCGTTTTTGTTGTTCTCTTTGTGATTGGTCGGCAGGAGGTAAACTACTATCTGCCACTCAAATCTCAGAAAAAACCTTCGTTTGGTATTTCCGTACACACACGAATCTAATGTCACCTCATGCCTCACTTTTTGTTTAAGAACAAATTTTAGATATTTTCACCCACAAAATACTAAATTTCAAAAAGAACAAAATTTTATTCTTTTCGTCACTGGCTTACAAATATCAAAATATCCCCCCCCCCCCCCCCTCTTTTTTTTACTTACAACATGATATTAAGTACTAAATTTAAATATTTATAAAATATAAAATTAATTAATTTAAATGTTAGTTTCAAATTTTTTATTAACTATATTAATTTTATAAAACTTTTATTTAAAATAAAAATAATAAATATTATTTTATTTTATTTTATTTTAATGCATAATATAATTTTAAAATATAAATAAATATCACTTTTTGAATAACATAACTATAAATATTTAAATTATGTAAATTTGATGTATAAAATCACAAAGATAATATAAGATGCTCTAACAGTTGTATTAATTAATCTTACATTATAAAAAAATTATCAAAAGACATAAGTATTTAAGTTAAATAATAAATTATAACCTTAACAACATTCTTTTTCATAAAAAAAATACAATATTAATTTAAACAGAATGAATAATTTATTTAAACTCATTACATATTTACTATTCAGGTCTTAATAAAGTTTTATTAGGTAATTAAATTGGATATGAATTTGTTGACATTATTATTTTAGATTAATGTTAAGACTATAAATTAAAAAATTATTAAAATGTTTATTATGTAAAACATATAATAAATATTTATTTTTTAATAAAAAAGTTCTTTTGTTATGATTTAGCATTAGGTTATTATATGATGCTCTTTATGTGTATTGGAGCACTGGATATGCCTCATATTTTCTACTTAATACAGTAAGTGACTTATTATTAATATATATATATATATATATATATATATATATATATTCTTTTGGTCCTTTAAATTATATTAATTTTTTATTTTAATTTGTATAAAAATATTGATATTTTAATCTTTAATTGCTATTAAATGATGACATGATTAACTTATATGTTATAACATTTTAATTTTTGTATCATGTATCATTATTTTTTAAAGACCTGTTGGTAAGCAAAATTAAAACTAATAATGTTTAATAATGTAGAATTATTTGCTTTCATTTGTTTATTTTAGTCTACATATTTAATTTTAATTCTTATAATTTTTTTTATATTTCAGTCCCTATATTTTAAAAATTATTAATTCAGGTCTCTTTTATTAAAGTATTTAAAACAAAAATTGACACATAACACTAAAATTAACATATAACAATATTTGGATTGATCACGCTATCATTTAATTGTAGTTAAAAAGCAAATTTAATAATTTTTAAAAATATAGAAATTAAAAGTTAAAAATTATAGAGCTTGAAAACGTATTTAAAAAATTATTTTCCTTGGTCATTTTATTCTTAAGGTGATTGATATTTGATTTTCATCAATTTCACATGCCTACCACAAATTTGACTACGCCATAACGCAAGCACCTTACCTTCAAAGCAAGGCTCAGCTGACATACTTTGTCACCATTCTTCATTGTTGAGATTCGTCCTCTTTGCTATCATAATTGTGACCCTCAAAAGTGTGTCCAAAATCTCGATGGAACCCTACTAATATGCAGAGCCAACAGTGAAATCCGAACCTTTGTGGCCTTGCACTCTCTGATCCTGTTTAACATAGAAATATAATAACATTGGGTAGAAAATAAATGTTTGCTACGATATTGTAAATTTGATAGAGTATTTTTATTTTTTAAAATTAATAGTTATAATTTTTTAATATTTTAAAAATTAAATGATATTAATAACTTAATTATATTTAATTTTAGTGAGAGTATCAAACATTTTTAATTATAGAAGATATACTAAATTTTACTTATTAACGGTTGCGATTTTTTTAATATGATATTATATATATATTTTATATATATATAATTTTTTAATATATGTTTATAGATACATAATTAAAAAAATTAAAATTAAAATTATTATTATTATTATATTATAAATCTAATCATTTTTAATAAAATATTTATTATATAAAAACTTTTATTGTATATTTAAAACAAATTTTTTTTACAAATACATACTTCTAAAATAAAGAGACACGTCATCTTTCCCCCAAAAAATACAAACATAATTTTCCTTTGAAATATGATACATTTATTGTTAGTGGCACGTGTGAATGGATGCAACTTGCCGTGATTCGTTACATGTGGTTATTCAGCATTTCAGTTGTAAATCTACTAAATATTTTGGAGCAGTTTGCAATTTAAACAAATTAACATTTTTACTTGCTCTATAAGTTATAAATAATTAATCGTAGTACCAAATAATAAATCATTATGTCTAATAAAATTTATATTTATTCTATTATTTTTTCAATTCAAAATAAATCCTTAAAAATTTATTACTAATGGTCTGACTCTGCTTCAGACCTCTTTATACACAGTAAATTTAATGTTCAACAAATATACTTATAAATAATTTTAAAAAAAATTCACTAATAATAAACTTTTAAGCAACTTAGTTAAAATAGTCCATCTCATTCATCGTGTGAGGAAGCAAGCAATTAACCAAATATATTAAAAATATATTTAAATAAATAATTTAATTAAGTAATTTTTTAAAATTTTAGTTAAATAAATTAAAAAATATTAGAGTCGCATACTTATAAATTATTTCAAACGTCTTGTTTTTATTTTTAAAATGATAGTCTCCAAGAAAAGTATAAACAACAAAGAATTAAACTTTAACTAATATGTTAATTACCAACTTCATTATATCTTAATAATATTAAACTTGTCAAGATGGACCGAAGACCACAATTCACTTCACCAATCTCATTATATAAATCATTCTTTTGCATATAAAATATTTTATGTCTATTATTTTCACAATAACGATATTTATTTATTTATTTAAAATACATTAACTTTCATTTTACTTAACAAATTTTATCAGTGTCATTTATTGTTGTATATTTTATGTATTTATGTGACTTTATTTATTGAACATGAAATATTTCTACAAAAATCAAATATAATTCTTAAAAAATATAAATAAAATCTTTAATATTTTTAATAAATTTATAAAAATAAATCAAGAAAAAATAATCATATAAAAATTTTATAACATGAAAATTTTTATAGTTAATATTCAAATAATATTTTAAAAATAAGATAAAAATTATTTATAAAATTATATAAAAATTGTTATAATTATATAATAATTATCAATAATATAGTAAAAAATTATAAAAATATTTTTAATAAATTATATTTATTTATTTATTATTATTTAATAATAATAATTATTATTATTATTATAAATATTTAATATTACACAAATTTAACTATTTCTTTATTTATTTTTTAAGCAATTTAATTGTCAACAAGTTTATAATAAAAAATTATATATAAGCTAAATATTTTTAATAAATTATTTCATAAGATATTATATATTTATCTCATAAATAAATGAGCTAAAATAATTTTTATAAAATTAATTAGTTTAATTCACTTAATTTTATAAACTTTTTAGTCTCATAAACTTTTCAGTTTTATGAGTTTTTTAACATTAATTTACTTAAATTAGAATTGAATTAATTAAAACTGGTCCGTTTAAAGTTATAGTTGATATATCTATTATAATATTAAAATGAGAGATAATATTAGTTTTAAAATAATATAAAATTTTGAATTAATTTAAAATTTTCTTTCATCTTAATTTTTATTATACTTTAAAAGTTTTTAAAATTGTTTTTTTCATCATCTGAAATCTAGGTCACTTATACTATTATGTGATTTTGAACTTATTTATTTGAATTTATTATGTATATTTATTTTATAATTCTAATATTTACTTAAATTAAAAATATTCATACAAAATACCAAATATATACTAATTGAATAGTAAAAGCTCATTTCGAAAGTATACAATTTTTAATTTTTAAATGCGTGCCTCTAATTTTAATTATTAAGTAGCTCAATATCTGTTGATGTCACGGACCGAGCCGAAAGATTAAATGATAAATTTTTTTTTATCTATTTTAATTAATTTAGTTAGTTAAACCATGAAACGTTCATTATAAGTATGTAGATTTATTTTTTCTCAATATAGTCTGTCATTTTTTTATTTCTTTATCCTCTCTCCTCGATTTTTATAAGGCGTGTTAAAAGTTTTTTTTTATATATATAAATAAAGTTATGCCTAAATGATAAATGAGTCATACTTTTAAGTACACAATCAAAATCCCGCTTTTAATTAATAATAACACTCACGAGAAACGCGTTTGAGAAATCAATCTCTTGAAAACATGCAAATTAAAAAAAATCCAATGCCAAAAACAATTGGAATATACAAACTTTATGTCAAAATATTAACGTGTTTCCTTTTGTGAGTATTGTTTTATACATCTGAAATAAAAACAATCTAATTACTAGTTTAATACAAGTCAAGTCAAACAATTACAGGCATCAAAATTATTTTTTTAAATTAAAACAACTCAATTGTTTGTTTTGTAATATTTAAAAAATGCTTGTCATGGTATTCATAAATTTGAAAATTTACTTGATATTTTTTTAAATTAATAGTTGTAAGAAAGAATATCAACTCTATCCTCTCTAATTTTATCTATCTAAGATAGTTTTAGTTGAATACTTACAAAACATTTGCATCAAGTATTTACACAACAGGGGATGTTTTACAAACGTTGAGATGAACCAATGTAATTTATTTTTTGGTCGTGCAACTAAAACTAATGTACTTATATATATAGTTAAAAACATATTTAAAGTGACGTAACAAGAAGAATAAAAATGAAACCAGTCGATCATTACTAATTAACGCAGGGAAAGATGCAGCAAGAAGCATTTGTTGGCAAGCGTAGAAATGTGACACGCCATTGAGATGCTACGATCCATTCCATATCCGTTCCCTCGGGATATGAGTGAGTGAGTCAGCCATGCTTAATACCAAAACTCCAGAAGCATCTTTAGTTCCCACATTGTGCAACTTGCATTTGTTTAATCTAAAATCTGCCAAAATATCAGTATCATATTGCCCCTTTTAAATATTGTGCATCTTAGACTTATTGATTATAATAATAAAGAAACATATATCGTTTCGCATTGGTTATCAGTTCTTACGTGATGACAGTGTTATTATTATATTGTTTACACGATGTGGATGGGGTATCCTAATGGCACGTTACAAGAAAAAACTATTCAATATTATGGAAATAAAACGGATGAATGTTCTTAACGTTCTCGAACGTACTAGATATGTGTCACCAGACGCGTTACTTTTAGTTTGGCGCACAAACTAATGGTGGTGCTTCTTTTTCATATTTCCCCCCTTTCAAACCATTGCTTCAGTCGTTACTTTTCTATTCGTTCTCGACCTAATGGGGACAACTATTTGCTTTATGTCTATTATATAAATCAAGTATAATTAGTCACTTTAATATCGTATGTAACTTAGTTATTAATGATTTTGAAGAGTTTAAAAAGTAACAGGATTTGGTAATTTGGTGGAAGTTGAATTACAATAATTGAGTAGAGAGAAAAAACAAGGAATAGAACAAGCAGCATTTGTTGGGAAGCACAGTGGTGTGACAAGGCATCTAGACTGGACGCCATATCCGTATCCTCGGGATATGATGAGTGAGTGAGTGAGTGAGTCATCCTTAATTGATAACTCAAGACTGAAGCATATTGGGTTCCCACCACCATCTCCAACTTGCAATTTTTAAATCCTTTTAAGACCTTGTTCAGTACAACACTATTTCTTTGTACACCCAATACAAAAGCCACATGTAACTTGTTACCATTATTGTATTCTTCAAATGCCGTGGATAGGGTCTTCTAACGCCACTTAACAACAACAATATATTAAATATTATGGAAATAAAAAACCCGATGAATGTTCCATCACATTCTAGAAACTACTTAGATTCCATCTATAAAATTTTTCTCTTAAATTAACAAAATTCTTTCTTTCTTTTTAAAAAAGCCAGCCAAATGTTCATTAGTTGATAGTTCGGCAGTAAAGTTATTCAAACATGGATATACAAGTATTTCCATGGGTTAGAGGAAAAATAACATAAATAATTGAAATACCAACAAACAGATCAATAGAATAATAGAAATGATCCAATAGGAATGAAATGTACATACAAATGCAACAAAATTATGTTTTGATCTAACTATGAAACCATCAATACGAGCAACTTAGTGGCATCAAAATATAGTTATTTTTAATCCTAATTTATTAGACCTTAACGTTACTTGAATTCACAAAATTTCTTCATGACTTTATTCTGAGACTAATATTTTTTTATTAACCTTAATTTTTATAAGTAAGATTAAATATTCAAAATAATACTTTTTAAAATATAATTATTATATTAAAATTATAACAAATATTTTTAAAAATTATTATTATTATTTATTTTTATAAATTTTAATTAAAATTCTTATCATCAACTCTGTTTATTAAAAAATAAGTTTAAAAAATAATAAACATTTTATATAAGCTTTTATAATGTATAATATAATTAATAAAAATTAATAATTTTTTAAAATACACTAATTTAAAACAATAGTATAGTACAACAAATTTATTTTACCTTAAAAACTAAATTTATAAATATATTAAAAATTAAATTTAAAACTAACTTAACTTAAAGCATTGAATTTTAAAATTAATTTAAATAAAAAATGAATTTAAAATCAATTTTGAAACTAATTTAAAACTAAATATTAAAAAAATTAACTTAAAATCTAATTTATATAATTAGTTTGTGTGGTAGATAAATAATGCAAAATATAATATATTGAAATATTTATTAGTTTAATGCAATATGAACATAAAAAAAATTATACTGTCAACAGATTAATATACATGCAAATATAAATTAATATTAATATTAATAAAATAAAACAAAAAATATTAATAATATATTTTACTAAATTTAAAACCAGATTTAAAATAAAATAAATCTAGACAATTTTTTTTTCAAATCCAATCCATACTCATGCTTACCTCTTTTGTTAAAGACTGATAGGTTAAATAAAAATCTTTATATATTGCCTTGCTTGTACACCATTTTAATCAAGAAGCACAAGGGAAATAAACCACATATTTGACACTCACAATATACACCAAAATATTCAACAATTACAAAATTGGGAACACTCCCTCGGAGCAAAAAATGGTAAGAATTCACACGCTCATTACTATAAACAGCACAATAATTCAGTTTTATTAACATCAATTACTAGGGCTCATTTCAAACATTTAAAAGTAATACATTTTTATTAAAAAGAGAAAAAACATTTATTATATTTTTATGTAATAAATGCTTTCTCATCTAATAAAAAATCATTACTTTTAATTAATTAAAATAAACCCTAAGTACTAATGTTAACAATTTCCATAAAAATTTAACTATACCCTCTATTTTACAATTGGCTTTCATGACTGAAGCTGATGGCAGCGGAAATAGTTATGGTGGTCACACTTCAGTATCGGTTACAATTCATGCAAGTTCTTCACTCATGGCTCATGGCTATTGACTCGACTGTGAAGTTCTAACATTTCTCGGTGGTTCGGGTCGACGGAGAGGGCAGCACGACAGTCTCTTAGAGCACCTAAGACATCCTCTTTATGTTCATGGAATGCTGCACGTAGATGTAAGAGATGCAAATCAGCTTTAAATGCAATGGCTCTAGAGAGTTCCGCGATGGCTTCCTCTTCCTTACGGTCGTCCATCAACACTGCAACCACATATACCATAAACATATTTGTGAATAACGTGCAGAAGAGCACAGATGCCAAATATTCCATGTTTGACTTTATTCCACATGATTAGCACAAGAGCACATACTTATTAACATGTTTGTATGCAATGCCTTGGAATGCGTCAAATTCCAATGGAATCTAGCAGAACAAGTCCAGATTTTATGCATATTCTTGTTTGGTGGTTAGAATAAGAGAATATGATAGGATAATTTTTTTTATTTTATCTTATTTAGTGTTTATTTAATCAACAAGATACGATAAATATATCCTACAAACTTATTTTATCCTTCTCTTTATTGTAAACTTCATTCTGCAGGGGATCTTGGTTAGAAATAGACATGATAAAATAATACAAAGTATCTAATTTATAGCTTTGGTATGCATAAAATAAAGTAAAATAAAGCACATTGCACTTCGTATCTTGTTCTCATTTAACTATCATATCTTATCTTATCATGTCCACCATATAGACAAATGACTACCCGAGTTATGTAAAATACTTACCTGCAGCACGATATCTGTAAGGATACACCCGAAGTGGATCTAACCTAGTTGCCATCTCCAGATCTGCCATTGCTTGTTCACGATCACAATACTCAGACCTCTTCTCGTAGGCAGATGCATTGTTTTTTGCCTTCTCAATTAGTTCAGTCATTTCCATATAAGCAGCAGCCTTATCATTCTTGAGACAATGAACACGAGCAAGACCCTGATGAGCTCGGGTGTGTCGGATTTTAAGGGCATTGATATAACAATCAGCAGCCAAGTCCAATTTACCACAGTCAACATAAACACTTCCAAGATTGTTAAGTGCCTGGAAAATTAAATGGAGCCATAACTAGTTAAACTACAAACTTATTATGTCCAAAGTTGAAGAATTATAAGAATATTACAAGATATTACAGAGTATAATAGCTAACAACTTATGTCTTCATCAGTTCAGGTCAAACAACAGAGCTTCATATTTCACTTTCTAGACCTCTACAGAGTAACCAAAACTCACAACCACCATAATAGAGATGATTACAGAGGGAGTAAGGTATATAAGCATTTTTGTTTGAAGATCACGAAAATTTGATAATACAATGTCTTGATATTCCTTGTAATTAGTTGTGATACATTGTATATAAAATGAGAAAGAGATTGTATCCTTACTGTATTTAGTTTAGTCAATCCCTAAAGGTAAGGGATTAAATTGTGTATACAGAAATTATAAATTCACAAGGGTTAGAAAGGATTTTCTATAGTCATTCACATCAGAAAATATCTTATTTGAATTAACAAAAGAGCTTCCACGTTCTGGGCCTGAACTCTGAAAGTCCTGTTCTTCCAGCCACCACTATCAAGTTTGGATTTTCTGTCCAAACAACATCACTTGTCAACATGAAGGAACAAAGTGTTTCAAAAAGTCTCAACCAGGCATCCCTCCAACCCTGTTGCAAGAATAATAACCATGTGCCTCTGTGGGCAGCTTCACACCATGCACCACTCTCCCAATCTCAATTGACCCATTGGGCCATTGAAGAAAATGATATCTCTGACTCATCCAGGAGCTTAATCTAGTTTGCTTTCTTGGTCGTTCCCTATATAACAAGTCAGCATGGCCATGCTAAATTGAGCACTTAGTTCAAAATTTGAAAATTTCAAATTGAAAGTCTGATTCAGCTTGAGGAAACTCTATTTAAAGGGGAGGACATAAGGAGAGAAGGCTATCTCTTAATCTATCTCATCTCATCTCTCTCCCACGTGGAAAGATTAGAACTTTGAAACCATCAAGCACTCATAAGTTCAATCACTTACTCCTTGACATCAAAGCATCTACATATAAAGGTTTTGCTTTCTAATAGATAGGATTATGAATTATTTTCATAATTTGGTTTGATTTTATATTTCCATTAATATGAACAACTAAATTCATAACCAAAGACTATGATGGATTTTATGATGTGAAGTGGGTTTCAACCCTTTTTCTATTAATGTATATTTTCTTTCATCAATTGTATTTATTCCATTACTCTCATTTCATTATTAAGACCTATCAACCTTGCTAACTTTTAATTAATTAGGTAAAAGGTGATCATATCATTGTTTAGTTAACAAATCTATGAAATAAACTGAATTTAAAATTTTGAAAAATCAATCAACATTCTAAATTTCTAACCAATATTTAATTAAAAAGCTCATTAGATTTTCATATTTCCTCTATTAACTATCTTCCGTGAACATTAGCGATAATAATAATGAAAAGAAATGTTATTATTGCATAATTATTAGCTAGTAATAGAGTTAGAATGCGTAATCAACAATTAACTAAGAAAAAATTCATGAAGAAATGAAGGAAAAAATGTCAAAGAAATCATAAATGAAACCAAAGCTCTAAGTCCATTCATAACTGGTTTTTCTATTAGTGTTTGTTGACCTTGTTGCTCTTCTTTATTTTCCAATCGTTTCTTTTGTTTTAATTCTCTTTATTATAAATTACAATCCCATCAACTATTTGGTTAGTCTCAATAATCATAGATTTGATAGAGAATAGTCTTTGTGAGACGATACTAGGAGTTTTAAATATTCCTTTTTACAACTCCCAATATATATACTTACATGAAGGTAAAACCTAACAACAAGCATGTAAACAAGTCAACTTTCCGTAGAATAAAGGAAAAAGTGGCAACAGTGGCATCAGTAAAGTCATGTTCACACAGAAAGCAATTAAACCTTCCCCATATATCACATTTTATAGGTTTGGACTCACAATCACCACAAAAGAGTTGAAAGGAATCATGATCAAATAGTGATACCATCTCCTTTAAAGACAATGTTACAGTAAAATGGTAAAAACTGAGATGAGTAAACCCAGGCATCATAAAAGATCTCTAGCTGTTAGGAATAAAACCATTTAGGAGCCACTGCCCTCCACTTGACAGCATACATTTTTGAGAGAATTTATCCATGAAATGGTCTCAGGGTCTCCATGACCAAGTGTATAGGGGTTTGGCAGTTGCCATCATTCTTCTAAATTAAGGATGAATTTCATCTTGGTGAATGCCTTTTCATTGTCCACGTCAAAAACCAAGGGGCTCTTGTGTGAGGGGGTGTATTAGATATAAAATCATTCATGACTCTCCACCAAACACCTTATTCATTTTAGAAATGGGAAATTCGTTTTTAACACATGCATAGACGGCAGCTATTGAGTAGTGTTAGGATGTACAATGAGAACTGAATAAGGACTGCTGTTAATTAGTTAGAAGGGGTTGGTTAGATAAATACAGGAAACCAGATTAGAAGGATTCATCATCTGTGAATTTGATAGTTTGTGTGAGAAAGGAGATACCCTCTGGGAAGGAGAGACCTCTCCCCTATTCTCAATCATTCAATAAAACTACTGTTTTCTTTTCATTAGTTTTGATCAATTTTTCATTTCTCTTCTCTCATTTTCTAACAAGTAGTGAAATATTTTTCTAAAGAAGTAAAATAGAACCATACCTGACCTTTGCGCAGATTATCTGAAGGACACTTCAAGGCATCTTCTAGAAGTGAAATAACAGTTGACGAACAAGAAGGATCTAGACTAGAGTCAGCCAATGCATAGGCCTTCAAAAAAAAGGCCTCAAAAGATCTTTTGATACTGATAGACTCTTCAGCTTTACGGAGCCCTTCCTCATAATGACCTGTATCATATAAGATCCACCCCTCATATACAAGTCGTTCATGCTCACTTGATGCATGGTGCCGAGCTAATTGTAAACTCCGCATAGCTGCCTCAGGACAGCTCAGCCTAAATCAAATAAGTACATCAGATTTATCAAGTCCTCAGCATATAAAAAAATACAGTCAATATTTAGACAAACGAAGACCCTGAAGCCAGAAAATCTTCCATTCCAGGTGCAATTTTACAGGGGTAACTTGAATTTCAAAGTAAAATATTTTGTTATGGATTTTTCTCCTTTGCAATTGACTTTATTGTCATTAATGTGGCAATTTTTAACTAAACAGAATTCCAATTGTATGTGACCAGCATATTAAAAGGAGCTACCAATGACCAGTCCATCTAGTTACAAAACTGTGAGATTCAATATTGTGATTTGTGAACACAAACACCATGTACCATGTCAGACGCTAATACACATGTGGGTAAGTTAAGTTCAAGGCTTTTAACAATTTAAGATAGTTACCAAACATCCATAACATTCTCTCTCGCGATTTCAACTTACAATGAAAACATGGAGGTTTGAACCTACAATAACCTCCTGCAAAGTACCTAAGTCCTTGACCACTGACTCACTACTAGTGGATTCAAAAGGTTCACAACATACCTCAGGAGAAGTAATGATTGTCTGAAGTATAGAACACCTTTTGCCGCATCAGATTCAAGCATCTGGTAAATAACAGATAGAGACCCAATATCATCAACTGCAGACCAACAGTCATATAACCGTGCCCAACAATCTGCAGTTGTCCAATGTTCAACATGTTCACGCACAAGAGTACACAGTTGCGATGCAGCAACACGCCCCTCAAACATTCTATAATCTGAACGTAAAGTAAGAATAGTTTGAACATCACATAGAGCTGCTTTGTAGTCCTCAAGAGCCAGATGGATAAAAAATCGTATTTCCAGGCATTCTAACGAAAGTTTGAACCCAAGAATCCGATTGATTTCTGCCAGTGCAGCTTGAGCATTCTGTGTCCTCATTAAACAGGTGGCCCTGTACATGTAAGGATATGTAAGAGTAGGGTCCAGATCACTTGCTTTCTTAAGGTTCTCCCACCTTATATCACTGTCACAATATAGCGCTCTTTCCTGATACATCCATCCAAGAGGAGTAACAGATGAAATGACTGAGCTGAGCTTCTCGTAAGATAAATGCTTCTCACCCTTTATATAGTCCAGTCTAGCTAAACCTGCAACAGAATAAATATGGCCTACATTTACTGCCCCTTCAAAAAGAATACGTGCTTCATCATATTCTTTCCTTGAGAGTCGTACACATCCCAATTGATGTAAAGCCAGCAATCTCTGCTTGTCATTCTCAGCAAACTCAACTAACCGTTCCAGGATAAGAGCTGTTGTATCTGAACTAGAATTAAGGTTCACAGAAACTTCACTTAAGAAACAGAAAAGGGCAAATATAGCTGGCCCAACCATGACTGCCAGCTGTTGCCTATCAGCATGAATAAATATCTCCACCACACGATCGTCATTCAAACAGTTTGGAAGATCACGCAAAAGGACCTGTAAACAAGAAGCAGCAAGAACAGTTGAATTCTCATCAATAGCATATTCCATGAGCTCCACAGCATCATCTCTGGAGGAAACTAGGGATGCAAGTCTTCTATCACAAACATCTTTAAGTCTTTCACAGCAATATTTGTTAGCAAAAACTAATATCTCCAACAAAAGATCCGGAGGAACTTCAATTAAACTTCCAGTCAAACTGAAATAACTTACTGCCCTCATACCTAAAGGAGAGATATTATTTTCAGACAAATCAACAGTTACAGAGAATGATTCACTGAAATACCCTTTTAGCATTGCATGAAATGGTGCCGAAAGTTGAGAAATTTTTTGTCTATCACAAATTATCTTCTCATTTCCAATGACAAAAGTAACATACTCCGAAATGTGGTTCTCATCGGTCATTCTGTCTTGGGAACTCGCATTTACATTAAATGGAAGATGAGATGATATATCTACAGGCCCAAATTCCTTTGCACATTTACCACAAGTGGCGAGCAAGTCGGCTATTAGCTCTTCCTCCTGCTTCTCATATTTCAACCATGCCCCAAATATAATTTTCTCATGAATGGTGTTGGCTCTCTTCCAAGCTGCTTGAAGGCTTCTACGCATCAGTTTAACTTCCCCAAGGCCCCTAAAGACCTGGTATTGTAACAAAAACAAATTTGACCGCTCTTGCGCAGGACAAGACTCAAGTTCCTCATGTATTTGAGCTAAAACTTCCACATAATCAATAGGCTTAAAGAATGGAAGTATAGGTGGCTGAGGGACCTTGATCAGAGACTCTCTACAACAGATGACAAAAAAAAACACACACACACACACACACACCAACCCCACCCCAAAAACAAAACAAAAACCCTTATTAAATTGGCAAAAAGTTAAGCTTCATATTGAGATAAAAGGATCTGAGAAGCTTACATTGACGTAGAAGAGGGTTGTGATGACAATTTGGGAAGTTTCCCTCTTTCAATTTGAAGCCAACTCTGAGGATTCAAAGCATTTGGGTGCGTTTCTTTGCAGGATTCAGCAGGGAAGAAAGTCCTCATGGGGCATAAGAGATTAAACAAGTCCCGGATCTCCACAACAGCACTACACCCTTCTCTTCCAAAATCAAAACTTTATTCCATTTTCAAGAAACAGAACAATCAATCTCAAGCTAATCATCTTTTTTCTTTTGTTTCAACGAATTTGGTGCAACCAACGAGCAATAAAATCAAACAAAAGATAAAAAGGAAATTCATTTGCATAGTCTCTTGAGTTCAGCATGGAACAAAGGAATACTCCACAATGGGTAGGAAAGATAAATAGCAGAAAAATGCAACTCACCGAATTAGTTGAGAAAAAATGCAAGGAATGAATGGTAGAGAGAGAGTTGAGCTGAGATTAGAATCTGCAGAGGAAAATGAAATTGAAAATTTGGGACTTTAACTAACTTTACTTTATTAATTAGTGCTTTTTGTTTGGGTGAAAGGGAAAGTGGCTCACTTTCCTTCCCCTGGAGACAAACCATACAAATTACGGCCACTGTTGCTTCACACTTGAAAAGCTTCCATCAGAGTTGAAACTGCTGACAGCAGAGTTGATTATGTTTTCAGACAAAAAAAATAAAAATAACACTACTTTGTGTTTTTAAGGGGGTTTTTTTCTCACAAAATTTTAAATTATAAATTTTTAACGTGTATTTTTAAAATTTTTATACTGTTAATATATTTAAATTAATTCATTGAATTCTGTAATATTTTAAATTTTTTTTAAAAAGTCATTATATATAATTAGACACATTAAAAAACAGTTTAAATTATACTAACTAATTTTAAATATAAAATAACTTAATTCAAGTACACTGTAAAATAAAAAAAATATATAGTTGGAACTTAAAAGAGGTATAGTTGAAAAATACACATTAAAAGTTATATTTATTTTATTTTGTTACTTAAAATATAATGTTCAAATAATGTAGTAATGTAGTAGAAATTATGTGTCAATGTCCTCGGCGTTTTATACTCATAGAATGCGAAAATAATGAAGCATACCAAACATTATTCGAAAGGACAAAAACATAGTTTGTGGTTTGCAAATGCATAATTGCATATGACAAATGCATACAATTAATTATTGTACCTTTATAGATCAAAATATTATTGTACTTGTACAAAAAATTATATATTGTGAACATAAGTTGTATATCTTAGTATTTTAGCGCATGCGAATACATGAATAAATATTACTATTTATGCTATTATTTAATTATAGACAATATTCATTATAGATTAAAAATAAATAAAATTTAATGTGAATTCAAAGAAAAAATTTATATTATAATAATAATATTATGAATTTAACTTAAAATAAAGTAATATCAAAATTCAAAGCACTACATTAGTAAATTTTATAAAATTAAATAAGAAGGGCAATAGAAATACTGATATTTTAAAGATATTTAAAGTATTAATTAAAATATTGATATAACAATTCACGACATCAAAATATCTCGAGCTCCAAGATTTGGTGTTTTATTTCAAGAAAAGAGGAAAGGGGCGACACATCTAGAGTTCTCACCTTAGCTTCTTAGGTGCTGCATAAGCTCCTCCCTTGCCCTACAAAGAGTAAATCTAGTCAAAACGGAGATTGTCCTGGCCTCAGTCCCAACTAAAGGGGCCCTGGCTATGGATAAGTACGAGGTTGAGAAGCGTTTCATAGAGGAGCTTGACCAGATGGACCGAAGTATTAAGAAAGTGAAGATAGATCCAAGTTCTGATCTAGGTGTTCTATATCAGGACATTGATAAATCTATATTTTACTACATTTTTAGTATAGTTTCTGTTAATAAATAAGCAGTAAAGTACTAAATAAACTTAAAAATATCATAAAAATTGCATTAATATTCATAATTGTATAAATAGCTTAGAATTGTGAAGAGTTACTTAGAGGAGTTCCTGATGAGAGAAACATAAAAAGATTTTTTTTGTAAATTTACAATGGTTCAAAGACATATTTGGAGTATTACCTCACAATACTAATAGACAAACTATTATCTGTTACACTAGATCATATATAATGGTTCTATTTGGTGGGGTATTGTTTCAAGATAAATCAAGATTTAAGGTTCATATGAAGTGGCTACCTCTTTTAGCTGATTTTACAGAGATTTCAAACTATAATTGGGGTTTTGCTGTTTTGGCATCCCTTTATCGTGAGCTATGTCATGCAGTGAAATACAATATCATCGAAATTGCAGGTTGTTTGCCTCTTATACAATATTGGGCATGGTACAAAATACCTCAGTTAGCCCTTAGGCACCATCATTCTCTCATTTTTTCACTATCATTAAGGTACTATTATTTATGAATATATTAATTTTTGTTATTTATATATGTTAAATTTGCACGTAAAAATAATTATGTTCATTTTAGGTGAAAAAGTTTTAGATCGTTGACAAAATCAGATACATATAAGTTATTGCGATATAAGAGAACTATTGATTCAATTGGTATTAATGAGGTAAGTTGAAACATGATGTATGCTACTAACTTTTGTTTTAAATAATTATATTTTCTGGTCTAATATTTTATTTTGATACTTTTAGTTTAGGTAGATGCCTTACAGCAACAATGAGGTTAGAAACATTACACCTCCTTTCGTGTATGATGAGGCTGATGTTTAGGCATCTGTGACTATTCTTATATAGTTTACTGTGATTGAGTGGCACCCTGTTGATCACGTGGTTCGACAATATGGTGGAGCATAACACATACCAATCATATAGAGCTTAGGGACTTACCTAATAGTGTACCACTACATGGCTCCCTAGCACCTGACATTACACACCCTGATGACGTTCCAGATAGATACTCTTTCATGCATCATTTGCGTGCAAGTACACATGTTAGTAGATGTCAATACCATGATGAGGCACATATACCAGCCGACCTCTCAGCACACGATGTAGAACATGGTGCAAATCCAATTGTACAGTAGACCTCACACTATGTATAGCACCCGACACCCACATACCCCAGCCACCACTTCATGTTAAGACCTAACCAACAGTAGTACATGGTTGGTCCTTCTTAACACCACTTCATGTCGGACCCTAGCCAACCATGTATGACCCCTAGCCAGTATTTTATGTGAGGCCCTAGTCATCAGTTCATATCAAATTCTTTTCTTACTCCCAGTCCTATGCAACAGGGTGATATTGAACAACATATATATTTCAGTTCACCTTTCATGTCAGATGTTGAGGTTACCACTTGGCTAAATTCGACTGGTACAATACCACCTGCAGATAATATATATCAACCATCACCATCACATATCTGAACTCTCTCCTTTAATGGTTCACAGAAGGACGAGGAGAAGAAGCATTAGTAAGAGCAGGAACATACACACCGCAGACCTGTACGACAGATTGTGTATCGTTGTTGTGCAATAGGGGGTTACTTTACTGGGCCCAGACACAATAGGCGTGATCCATAGTCACATATGTTGTATGTTGATCTACATATTTTATGGACTATGTACTTTAAAATTTTAATTTTCTGTATTTTAGAATTTTATTTTTATGTCTTCTCGAATTTTAATTTCATGTACTTTAGAATTTGAATTTTATGCAATTTAGAATTTAAATTTTATGTCCTTTGACATATTGTTTTTACATTGATATCATTTAATAATTTTATAAATTATAAAATTATTATACGAAAATATTAACAAATTTAATTAAAATTATTATTTTTCTTTAATTTGAGTAAAAAAATTTAAACAAAATATATAACTTTGGGCACGAAATGTATAACACAGATATGTGAAGTCCAGAAATGCATTACAGAAGTCGATTATAATTGACTCTTACATAACATAGAAGTCAATTATAATCGACTCTTTTTTAACACATAAGTCAATTATAATCGACTTTATCATTGAAGTGTCAAAAACAATTATAATTGACTTTTGAACTCGTGTGTGAAATTGGTTTTAATCGACTTCTATGTAACTCAAATTAGGACATTTATGTAAAATAAAAAATTTCAAGACATATAGGTAATTTTATATTTAAAATAACCTATTTTTGTAAAAAACCCAAGAATTATAGCTATTATTTGGAATGATTTTTATTCATGCCTTAGCTGGATCCTTGGTAATGGTTTGATTACCTTGTTCTAGCAGGACAGCTGGTTCAGAGATAGTCAAACTCTTGCTAATATTGTTGTCCAGTCTATCCCTGCTAATGTGCTTGATGACCCTATTGCTTGATTTTCCTCCCATGGTAACTAGGATTGGGATAAATTTAGGAATTTTCTACCTAATTCTAGTTGTGATCTGATTGCTAATATTAATCTCCCTTCTTTTGCTGAGGGTTAAGACTAGTTTTACTGAAAACTAACTAGTAATGAATTTTTTTTAAATCTGCTTATAGTATTATAGATAATTTTGTTCAGCCTAAAAATTTGCAAAATTATATTTTTGATCTAGTCTAGGAGTGGGAGGACCCTCCCATAATTACTACTTTTTTGTAGAAAATTGCCCATGACAAGCTCCTAACTAATGAGAAAAGATTTCATTGGAAGATGACTGATTCCCCTACTTGTTTAAGATGTAAGGAGATCCTTGAAACTATAACCCATATGCTCAGAGATTGTTGGACTGCTAACAATATATGGAGTTAAATCCTCCCCCTGATAAGTGGTCTACGTTTTATAGTTTGTGGTTGTCTAGGTGGCTAGATTTTAATCTTTCAAAAAATATCCTTTTCCCTATACCCTGTTTGGAATAAGGTCTTTGGAGTTATCACTTGGAACCTCTGAAAAAACATAAATAAGGCCATCTTCCAAAAGATACCTTTAAATAGTAGAGATTTGTTAAATAAAATTTTCTCTAATATTGATTATTTTTTTCTGTTCTGCAGATATGATCCTTCGCTTGTAGCTTCTGGTGGTGGCCTTAATCGTATAATGAAGTGGCAACCTCCTTTGGAGACTCAACTAAAACTTAATATTGATGGGTCTGTGTCATGGGATAGGAAGATAGTTAGTTGTAGTGGCCTAATTAGAAATAATAAAAGGAACTTTATTGTTGGTTTCCACAATACTCTAAATTATTGTCATCCTACTGTAGTTGAACTTTGGAGTTTGTTTTAGAGTTTATAATTGGTTATAGCCAAAAAAATTTAAGTTGTTTAGATAGAATGTGACTTAAAGGAAGTTATCTCTTTAGTGATAATATTTAGGATAGTAAACATCTTTTTTACTTTATAATTAAGAGTATTAAGAATTTTTTAAAAAGATCAAATTTGTTAAAACTAGCTATATTTTTAAAGAAGCTAATAAGTGTACTGGTTAGCTAAGTTAGACCTTGAGTTTGGTTTGCCTTATACTATTTTTGACAGGACTCCTTCCTCCCTTGAACTTTGCTTAAGGCTGGATTTTATAGAAATCGTGTGGTCTACGCCTATTGGCTAGTTTGTTTTGCTTTTCAACTTTTGCCCTGTTCTATATAAAAAAAATATAGTAATTTGTAACTAAGTGTAGAAAAAAGCTTTACACCATTAGAAATGTTAAATTTTAATATTTAAAGATGATATTACATGTCTTATAAAATAAAAAATATAATAAAAAATTAAATAATAAGATTTTATATATTATTTCATATATAAAATTTTATTACATGCGATTTTGAACGGATTTTAAAAGTCAGATTTTGTTCGATTTGATTCATAATAAATTGGGCCAATTTTTTATTCTCCGTATTTTGTTAACTAAGTCCTCAGCCAATCAGTCAAAACATCTAACCTAGTCTGAATTTAAAAACAATGATTCGTGCAAAGAACAAGAAAAATGTGCTGGAACATCTATTCGACATGAATTTGACAGCTTTATGGGTCGCAATACATTGACTGCAGCTATTTACGTGTGTTACATACATAATAATAAATTAAGTAGGTATAAATAATTATAATTATAAATTTTAAAATCACACATAAAAAAAATTAAAAATAGAATTGAACCTTTTTTTTTCTTTTAACTTAAAAACATAGATGACGGCATAGTCCATGTACCTCAACCCCTGCAAAATAAAACGGTGTAGCTACAAGAAATGGCCATAAAAGATAGAATAAGGATGGACCCTTACCACTACCAGCCAAAATACAATAAATAAATAAATATATGTTTAATAATTGTTTTTAAAAAACGTTTTAATTTTTTAAAAAATAAAACCAAAAAAAAATGATGATGTGTTTTTTAATAACTGTTTTAAAAAAATTCAGAACAAATTTTTAATGTTTTTATTATTGTTTTCAGAAATAAATCCCTGCTAGTACTGGGTAGTTTCGTCACTTGAATTCAGAGGTTCCGCAATAATTATCAAATATTGAATTGCACGATTATGAGGGTATCTAAAGTTTTCATCAATTTCAATAGCCAATCTTCAATTAACAGGATTTTTTTTTTCTTGTCAACGGGAAAAAGGGTCTTTCAGGCTCCAAACCCAGATCAGTTTTAGCATTAATGGTGCAAATGCAAATGGCCCAACCTAGGTCACACTACTCTTCTTAATCAAACAGATAATTAGACTAATCCACATAGGCCTACATCTAAATGGGCTTGCACTTTTTAGGTTCAAATTTGACCTGTACCTTTTTTTTTTGTTTAAACAAAAACAAAAACCAAAAAACGTACATTCATGAATCCGAAGATGAAATTCAGATTCAACTTAAAAATAAAAACTTGACCAAAGAAAAACTATAGAAAAAGAAGGAAGACAAGCAGATTAGATTCATGTAATATAGATTAAAATTCAACTCAACAGTAGATGGCATTCTACGATGAACCAACCATAAGCAAGGAGCCTAAGATGAGAAGCTAACGCCAAATTACTAGAGTTAAGACTTTGCTACAAATCACAAGTTGTAATTGTGGTGACTCATGACATGAAGATGTTACAATGGAGCATCAATATTGTTGTAATTGTGATTATACAATGGAGCATGTTGAGTTTTATAAATTTAATTTTGATGTATTATTAAATTATTACAAAAAATTATCATTTTTGTTAATATGACAACCAATTTAGATGTTAATATAAATTATATTTCATTAGGTGTGTGCTTATTTTATTGACTACCTGAAAAGTGCTTTTTGTTGGGCTGTTTAGCCTTCTTGAATAGAAAAAAAAATGCTTTAATAATTTTTTTTTGTTTGACAAATTTTTAAGAATCAACTTATGATTAATATTTCATTAATTTTTTTAGATAACTTATTTAAGATAAGAAAATTTTTATAGTTTATGATTAAATGCTATCTATTTATCTCGTAGCTTTTTTCTGTTAATAATTAATTATTTTAAATATTCTAAATCTGAAATATCTAAAAATAAGACTCATTTCATAAAAATAATTATCAAAATTATAAATTATACGCATAATTATTTATTATAATAATATATTTTGTAATTAATCTAAATGCAAACTAGAGCATCTATTATCTTCTATATATTTAGATTCAGATTAAAAAATATGACTAACATTAACATACAATAAAGAAAAATAAGACTGGATAAATTTATTTAAAAAAGAAAAGACAAAATAGCTTAAAATAAAAAAAAATACATAATTATTATTTTATATTATTATGATAACCGTAAATTTGAAAAAATATTTTATATTTTCTTCAAATTAACAATTGTAATTATTCTGATATTTTAAAAATAAAAATATATTAATATATTTTATATTAAATTATTAATTTTATTATCTATCAATTTAAAATTAACGGTCAAATTATTTCACGAAAGAATAATAATTTTTTTTAATTACAAAGAGTATTAAAGATTTTTCCTTTTTAAAAAAGTAAAATAATGTTTTAAAGCATATTAAAAGACATATTTTTATAATCATTTAAAACACGTAAAAAAATATATTTTGTACTTTTAGTATATCTTTAAATAGAAGTTTGAAAAAAAATAAAAAATGGTATATTATCAGCAAAGAAAAGGAATAAAATAGTTAAAAACACGATATCCAAATCGAACGGTTACCCTTTCCCCGACTTGAAGGCTAAGAATCTCTGGATGGCGGTTCCATAAAATGAAATGAAGATAAGAAAGTTTGCATTTGGACAGAGAAAAAATGTTGAGAAAGAGAGATGTGGAGAGTGGTGAGGATGGCACTGTGAGGGGCCTCTACCCGACGATGCTTGAAAATCCGGAACTACGGTGGTCCTTCATACGCAAAGTATATGCCATCATTACCCTTCAGTTACTCCTCACCATTGCCGTTGCTTCTGTTGTTGTCTTCGTTCCCCCCATTGCTCATTTCTTCGTTGGTTCCACTCAAGGCTTGATTCTCTACGTCCTTCTCATTTTTGTCCCTTTTATAAGTATCTCCCTTCACTTTCTATTTCTATTATTATTTTTGTAAATTAAATTCTTTTATTTATTTTTTATTATTATTATTAATGATATTGGTGTTGCAGCATTGTGTCCCCTTTACTACTATCACAAGAAACACCCTCTCAATTACTTCCTTCTCTTCATTTTCACCGTTACTTTGGCTTTTGCCGTTGGGTTGACTTGTGCCTTTACTAGCGGTCAGTTCCTCTTTTATTCATTTTCATATTTATGATTACTGATTATTATCAACAGAAACACCCTCATTCCACGCTGTTTACTATTCGTTTTTACGTGAGTTTAATTTTTTGTTATAAGAATTTTTTATACATGCGTTTAAAGTAATTATTAGATAAGCCAATTATTTTTTCTAGTTCCGTGGTAATTCTTGATTAAATGATAATGTAATAATTATTGAATAAGATGATAATTTTTAGTTATATGACAAATTCAGGACTTAAATGATAGTGTAAAACAATTTTATAATGTGAATTGTATTATAAGTAAATTCCTTTCACTGTTGGGCCACATTAGTTTAGGCTCTTAGAATTTAATGGATCAATGTTACAGCTTTTTGTTTTTCTAATGAGGTTTGAAATTGGATGCAGGGAGAGTTATTCTGGAATCTGTGATATTGACTACAGTGGTGGTGGTCAGCCTGACTCTCTACACATTTTGGGCCGCAAAAAGAGGGCATGATTTCAGTTTTTTGGGCCCCTTTTTGTTTGGAGCTCTGCTAGTTCTTATGGTCTTTGCCTTCATTCAGGTATTTTGGTCTTGAGACCTTTCTGCTTCATAGTTGATAAGCATGTAACTATTAGGCCATTAGCCCCTGTCATGGTTTTGGGATTTTGTTATAGCGTGTTGTTCCTTTTTCCTTGCAGCTTTTGTTTCCACTGGGTAAGTTGTCAATGACGATCTATGGGTGCCTGGCATCGATTTTATTTTGTGGCTACATCATATATGATACAGACAACCTCATCAAGAGGTTCTCCTATGATGAGTACATATGGGCTTCGGTTTCCTTATATCTGGACATCATCAACCTCTTCCTTGCTCTGCTTACAGTTTTTAGAGCTGTTAATTAAGGACATAATTCCAGCAGCTTAGATTCCTTGCCTTGCTACATTTGTTTGTTTTAAGGAACCAGAATTTTATGTGAGTATATAATTCTTGTGAAGCAATCTATCAGTAATTCCATGTGATCGTCACGCCGCTGGTGGTAAGTTGTTGGTTAAAAGATGCAATTTTGCAGTGTATTGTATAAATAATTTACGATCTTGATACCTTTCTTATGTTCGACTCTCAGTTAACTGTTGTATGCCTCAATGGTTTATGTACACTTTATTTACTAGACTCGGGACAATAGTTGGTTTTTCAGTTGGAAAATCTCTTTTGAACACCACAGCAGAAAGTTGCGTACGGAAGATGTATTATAGAAGCTATTGCTACGTTACTCATAAATCCGATATTCATTATATATTTTTCAAATAAATTATTAATTTTATTATTTATTAATATAAAATTAACGATCATAATTATTTTATATGTAAAACATTATAAAATTTACCATCATAGAATTGCATGTATAAGAAAAAGGATAAAAAGTGGTCCATTTTTTTTTATGTTCAAATAATGGAACTATTTTTTGTATAAGTACTTTGCCTTGCAATATTGTTTCCGTGTTATAATTCTGTCCAAATTCAACTAGTGGATGTTCGTTGATGGGAATCGGTGGCATGATTTCAGTCTTCAATGCGCCAAGACGACAGAACAAATTGTTCTCTGCTTTATTTTTGTCACTCCAGTTTTTTCGTCGTGTTAAGTTGCTTCTTGAAACTACCTCCATTACCACTTGATTCTGGGCAAATCCTAGAAGGAAAAGGATCTTCCTTCACGCGAGGTTTTTTCAAATTTAATATTACTGCCACTCCTTAAATATGTTTCGTTTTGGATTCTAATTGATGTTCCATATAGTGCGAAACAGCATCTGATGTAGACAAACCGTCTAAAAGTCAAAACAAGTACTATTTCAGAGGCAATCAAGATAACTGCGACAAATTGTACGTTTGGCTACACGCTATCGATTGTATTGCATCTTTGAATACTCCTCCCAAGGTTCATACATATCTCATATTATTGTTGTGAACTAAATCCAAAACCTGAAGTAAGTCCACTTACTTTGCTTATATTTATCTTTTTATTTAGAACAACCAGGTAACGAGAAAATCAAACTCTTGACCATTAAAACAAAAAATACTTTTTTACAAACAACTATTAAAAACTTGTGTTGTTGAATGAAAACACCAGTCGTTTTATATTTATAAACTAGCCATGAAAATCTTTGGCAGTTTTGGACCATTCTTGGCTCTAGGGAACCTGACACATGCACTGCCGGTGGGGTTGAAAAATATTCCTATGATTCTACAAAATTAGATAGCAAATCGTATTTTCTTGCTGAAGTTGCCGACTCCATTTGTCCTTGCCATAGACGAATGTTCGAGGTTAAATGTATGCAAAATACATCTCAATACATGTAGTTAGAATAAAGTTCAATGGTCAACAATAGCTAGAGACTCTGTTGGTAGTAATAAGTATAAGATGACAAGTTCAGTTCCCATATCCTTTTTGTCTTTGCGCAACAATTGAGAGAAGCCTTGAAACCCCTTGTGTCCAGATATCATATTCTCTTTGATTTCGACACTCAAATTCCACAATCCCCCTTGAATCTGTCTTCAATCCAAAGTACCTTCGCTTTTCTCCATCATCCAACAGATGTCTTCCTGGCCACGCTGGCAAATCGGTGCATATATCTAACACAACATCTGCAAAATTTAGAGCACAAGTTATGAGCTATTGTTTATGGTTTACCCCAGTGAAAAACAAAGTTGTGGCCTAATGTATGCTTACTCTTTTTCTTTTTGGTAATGGTTCCTGCAACATGTCTGCTCTTCATTTTCAACATTACCTGAAATGTTTGTAAGCCTTATGATTGAAATTGAATGAACATATAAGATATAGCCAACTCCATCTACTGTGAATTCTCAAAAGAAAAATTACCTGGCCCGTTCGGTGTATATAAACAGACACTATTTTCCAGTGAAGATCACCTACAGTTGGTTATCACCAAAATGGTATTCAATTATTTACGCAAACATGCGAAAGGTTGAGTTAGTACTAGTAGCAGCATTCGTGGTTGATATTATTACCTTTCCGGGTTCGTTTGAGTAATTCACTACCCCTAGCAAGTAGCTCTTGGCTGCAGGCACCAAGAAAATTTTCTCCATTGAAAACTTCCCCACTATCACTGGTGCTGGTATTGCTGGCATTGCTGTTATTATTGTTGTTATTTTTACCACATAGTCCAATACCCCCAATGCCTTTCTCTAGTGGCGTCACTGCAGCAATGTTCCATACCTCCTTCAAAGCTCTTGCTTTCAATGTTGCTGCTCCTCGTAGAGCTGTGTATGAAATACCAAAAAAAAAAAAAATACCAAAACTGTCAATGTAAGGAAATCCCAGAAAACAAAAAGACTATTATTATACATGAACATGTGACACGTTTATCCTTATGCTACCAAGGGATTAATTAACAATGAAATATAGACTCTGGTTGATTCTTGACAGTTGAAACATCTTAATTAGAATGGTTAAAACTTTGGAAGAACTTATGAAAATAACTTATGACTTTTATAATTTTTTTTCAGTTTATGTCAATAAACTATTAGTAACTTAATAAAATAAGTTATTTTCATTTTTTTCAAAATTTATGGTAAAATATGTGGTAAAAGCTATCGTATAGAAAGAGCTTAAAGTAAGCACTTAATTGAACTGGATTTCATAACGCACCTAGGTTGAGCAACATTTTGCAAACATCTTCATATAATTTGGTGTATCAACTTTATAAGAGTAGAATTTAATGGTCACTATGAATTCTTGTTCTGAAAATGTACCCATTATTACACAGGAAATGGATGCTTAATTAACGAGCACAAAACTCTACCTGTGGCAGCTGCAGCAGTAAGAGTAGTGATATCATCATGAGAACGTACGTTTACAGCAGAGCTGACCACAGAAGCGAGGTGGTCACGCTCAGCTCCCATTGCTTCTGCAGCCTCAACACACTGTGCAGCAACTAATGTGGCTGCAGAAGCAACAGCCATGTCTGTCTTTGCCATCTTCTCATCCTTGTTGGGTGCAGATGAGGCTGCTGTTGCAGCTGCAATGGCTGCTACAGCAGCGGCCACTGCAGCCACTGAAATAGTGGCATGCAGCTGAGCATTATGGGTTCTGTTTTCTTCCTTCTTCTTTTCTCTTCTGTCTTTCAACCATCTTCCAACAGTTTTAGGTCCTGAGCAAGCCGTGCCATTGCCAATAGTTGCACTGGCTCGTCCACCATTGAATAACGGGTGAATGGAATTGTTTGCTCGAAAAAACTGCATGCACGTTGATAAGGATAAGCATTACTTTGTGTTTTACATGGTAAAACCATACCAACTCATAAGCAGTACTTTTGTGCTTTACATGGTAAAAGCCTACCAACTCTGTAATTTCAAGTTCAGCTTACTTTGATTTTCCTTTTTTCAGAAAAAAACGTAGAAGTGTCTCATGTTGTACTTGTATTGATTTAACATTATAGAGCTGTTCTCTCTTTCATTTCATACATATAACGTTATAGGACTTATAGCACTGCTAACAGTATTCACGGTTTCACTCTAAGTCACTTCTCCTTGTCCTTTCCAAGCCACATATGCTCATTTTGATTTATTAGTTTCATTATTTGTGCAGTGAAGGAAAACAAACAAAACCAAAGGTACCACAATACATCCTATATCCAACTTAGAAAATGATGCCTTTTATCTGTTCTTTCTAAGGGCCAAATAAAATAAAATAAAAAAATCCCTACTAAGAGTAAAAAGTTAAATTGATAGCTTGTTTGAATTGGAAAGTATTAATTTTTGCGTTAAATCAACATTTTTAAATACAAACTTTTTTGCGCAAAAGCATAGAGAAGGGGCACTAGACAGGCAATCTGTGTCCTGTTATGAAGCACTCAGTATGAACAAATCTGGCAAGTGGATTTGAATGCATAACATCATTAATACGACCACGCAACACACCCCGTAGATGAAGTAATTTGCGTCATTACACACTTCAGCACTCAGCAGGGTGCCGGTTTGAAAATGTAAATTTTGAAATGAAAAGGTCATGTCACGAGTTATGACCCTCATCAATTCCTTTTCAGAGGTCTAGGCTAGTTCCTATTTTTCCTTTTTCTCAAGCTTCTTTTTCTGTGCAGAGTGATGAAAGATAAAGTTGATCCTAAGTTACCAAAGTCTCACCTCAAGCAGAAAACACCAAGTTCCAACAACTTATTTTTGTAGTCATGAATAGAGAGACCTTTCTTCCATGTATCCATACCATAGGAGCTATTAACATAGCTAGCTATATGAGGCAGTGAATCACCACCCTATGACGGCACAAATGGGCCCTAAATTCTATTTTTGCCAAATCTTTTACATTTTCTTAATTTCTACTAACCATTCCAGTAGTTAAGGAATAAAATAAAAAAATATATAATGGAAATGAATAAAAAATTTCAATGAATATACATTTAATAGCATTTTAAATATATTTTTGTTTTCTAAACTGTATTTTCTAGACACTTGTTAGCGCTTTTGTGTGTGTGTGTGTACACACATATATATTATCTTTGAGTGGCTTTTAAGAAGAAAAAAACAAACGTTGTGTTTTTTATATTAAAAAAATAGAGAGCTTGCTAAATTGATTTTCTAAAAAGGAAAATTGGATAAACCAAACTGAGTTTCCTCAAACAAGAACTATTTCACCTGTGAAATTAACCAAGCACTATTGGGTGCAATTTAAGAGCACTTCCCCGACCAAGTGGCTCCTTTGGGGTCCACCCCACATGAAAACAAAACAAAAGAGAAATGAGAGTTATTATACCTTAACAACATCATCAAATTCATCTGAAGGTGAAATTGGAGGGCTATCTGTTCCCGTCAATGAACCACCACCATTCAAAGGCTCACTGCTGTGAGATAACCTACCTGATGTTAATGGAGACACTTCCTGTCACAATACAATCATAAGACGATTTCAAACCCCCCATATAGTTCATATACATCAAGACTTAAAACAACACAACTTATGTAACAACTCATACTCAAAAAGAAAGAGTTATTATATACACTACAATGCATTATTATGAAACTTGTAATTAAGCTAAGTACCTCTCTTGCTGACTGTGACATGATGCGTTCAAGTACAAGCTGAGAGGTAGCTGAGGAAGCGAAAGAGAACTGGTTCTTTGACATGGTTGAAAAGTCCTCAGAGAGAGAGTTAGGAGCAGATTCTTCAGGAATAGAAATAGTAGTCTTAATGGAATTTGGCATGCAAGAAGAGAGAGGAGGTTGAGGTGCAAGAGCTTTTGAGACTTCAAGAGCTGAGGCACTCCATGACCGTGAGAGAAACTCCATTGGCACTCTTGGACTCTCCGGCAGAGGGGTGCCGCCGCTCGGAGCAAACTCCGGCCGGCGACAGTTTATTGTGCACTTTGGTTCCATGTGAAGTGTGAAGTATTGTTATGTTTGTGCAGGGTAGTCTTAAAATGCTTACAGAGAGGTGGCAGAATGAAAGGTGTTAATGTATATATATAGTGGCATTTAAAGTGTTTGGGTTGGAGAATCAAGAATGTTTATGATTAAATGAAGTTAGTAATCTCCAGTCAGCAAATGTTAAAGGAATTGGTCAAAACTCACCATGTGAAAGTACTTTTTTGTAATTTGATATGTGATTTGGGGTTTGTACGTAGAGGGAGTTACTCACACGTGCTTTATACACGTCATTTTATATTTATAATACACTTTTGTCTTTTTATTGTAATTAATTTTAATAGAATTTCTATACATCTACGTTTTCATTGTGCTTGCTGCTTCATTCTTGTGCGGAATGTGAGACTACAATGTGACATGTTTTAGGAACGTTTTTTTGGTTTTCAATAGAACCAATTTTGATATGATTTTGGTAATAAATAATTTTAAGAAAATTGATTTGCATTTAGGTATAATATTTCATAAATAAATTAAGAAGGGCTAGTTGTATTTTTTGATAAAGTAAAATTACTTTTAGAATATAAATGATTTTGTAAGGGTAAAAATGATCTAAACAAATTAATTTGAATATCCTATAAATTAATCTTAAGGTAAAGCAAACGAGGATGCATCGGGAACAATATTTTCAATTCACTCGTGGCTTTACTGGCACCACTTAGATTTGTCTCTTAACAACATGAAGTGATGTAGATAATATATATATGTTGTACTGAACAAGTTTAAGTTCATAGGAATAGAAAATTGACATGGGATTCCCCTCTCATAACATATTGTAATTATTTAATTAAAATATGATCGCTTTGAATAATTAAGCATCGTTTTAATGAGAATACAAGGTATCACTGTAATGTAACAGTGAAAAGAAGAGAATGGTGTATTTACTCGCATCCCAAAGGATAAACGAAGAAATCTTAGTGCCATAGTTATGAGAAAGACAAAAAGATAATGCGAGACAGCCGAATGACTTGGGCCAGGTTTAGAGGATGCCATTATTGTACTGCCCTGTCTGCAAGATGTAACCTTAGTCCCATTCGAAGCAAATCAATTCAATTAATTATTATGTACGGAAGAATATATTATTTATTTTAATTCAAAATCATATTTCATTAAAATAATTTTTGTTCTGTTTATTACGATAAAGTTAACAAATAATCATTCAAATGCACTCTTAAACTAGTTTAAAACTCAACTTCATACAAGAGTTTATTTTATCAATCGAAACTTACTTATTCTAAACTCATCAACTATTCAAAATCAATAGGTTAATATTGAGTTGTGTATCAACCAAGTGCTTTCTTAAGTCATAACTTTTTGTTTGCTTCCTTTTTTTAAGATGAAATATTGTTTTTGTTCTAGTACAATACTTTTCTTCTAATGAGTATTTATAAAGTAGACACTATATATAAGGGAAATGGTTTATGCAGATATTTAAAGGTGTTTTTTTTATTTTATAAATACATTTTTAAGATGCGTGATATAAAAAAAATAAATTAATATACCATAGAATGTCCACTTTCAAAAATTCAAATAACGAAGTTAAAAAAAAATTGCATATTTTTAATGTGTATATTGTCTCTGCCTATAAGGGTCCCTCTACTTTTTGGTATGAGTGTATATTTTCGTAATATGATTTTGTTAGTGCCTTCATAGTCGTTAGTGTATGATCTTGGTGTGTTTAATGAGTTGGTGCGTATATATGGTCCTTCTAAAATTTGTGTGTTTTATGAGCTTGGAATTTATGGCCCATGTCCGAAATACTTTACAACTTAATAAAACATAACTTCATATTTAAATTAAGTACTAATAGGAAAATTAAATCATTATTGTTTACCTTTGTTGAAAAATAGTGATCCTACGACTCATACAAATTATGTCGAGTAACCGGTCAATAAATTAGGTGAGCATTTTATTTTATGTTTAAATAATTATAAATTTATATTTATTTTAATGCTATGAATTATAATTTCTGCGTTATGTTTATAAGACTTTTAATGAGTTTCTAAATACAAATTGACACGTGAATATTTAATTGTTTCACTCATATTTCATCAAAAGCGACTCGATTCAATCCCTTTCTTATTTTCAGAACAAGATTTTGTGAGATTATATCTACATTTGTATCAAAATTACACGTTAGAAAAATGTGCATTACACTTCACAAGATGAAAACAGAAGCCTTAGAAATGACAACTCAATGTGGACAGACAAAAGAAAATTTCCAGACCATTAACACTATTTACTTTGAATTGACATGTAAACATTATGAATGGTGTTTCTCATAATCTTTGCGTTATATTAGCACTTTTGAAGTGGAACTATTCTAGATGACTAACAGTGAAAGTAGCAATGCTAACATACAACTTGGTATAAATCTCTGTTGCCACCCTTTCCTTGAGAAGACAAACTTTTTGTTTTAACGGAGTAGACATAAACTTTGTTCCTTGCTTGAAAGAGTAATTATGTTTTTTAGGGATAAAATAAAATTACATCTTTTTAAAAAAATCAGTAAAATGTCGAATAAATTAACACATTTTGTTAATGCATATGATGAAATGATGTTAAATGAAATTCCTTAGAAAAGAATACGATAAGTGAAAATCTTTAAAGAAAAATTGAATGAATACACAAATTTGAGATTTGACAAATAATGATGAATCTGACAAATTCTTATGTCACATCGAGAATCAGTAACCAGTAGGTTGGCCTTAATTGATTGGTCATCTACACTTCGAGCAGTCTCAACTGTTTGTTTGAAAGCATTCTACAAGTATGTGATTGCCATTTAAATGTGTTCATTAGGCCAAGTACATATACATACTCAAGTAAATAAAGGCTTTGAGAAGCATAATTAACAATAATGAAAATTCTTGAAAAAATAAAAGTCAAATTAGATAATTATATTCAACAAATAGTAAAAAGATGTTTAACAAAGTAATAAAATTTGCCAAAATGATAAGTGTTAGCTGATTCAACGAAAGTCATGACATGATTGTTAATTCACTTGATATCTCAACATGAAAAATTGTATTTATACAGTTTTCTTATACAACTTTGGTACAACAAAAAGATATAAAAAAATAAACAAAAATATAGAATAAAATAGTTGATACGATTTAGAGAAATAAATAAATAATATTAGAAAAAATATTACATAAATAATATTACTCTATCAATATTTAAAGGGTTTGCAGAGGGTTTTTTTTTTTTTAATATAATCTAGAAATATAGAAACTTGGAAAAATTTACTAGGTGATATTATGTTGACAAAGAGGAGGGTTAAATACATTTTATAATAAATTGAGTTCAAACTATCATTTAAAAAATTGCAAGATAATGTTCCCATTGAAGAATGTAACAAAGAATGAGGCTGTTATAAAATGAATAAATTTATTTGTCACAGATTTAAATTCTCTCGTACCTCTTTAACAGCAAAATTCCAACCATCCATGACAAATTCTTTCTGCTTCAATTATTGTGTAATGACCAATCCAAAAATTAAGATTTGCAGGATATTGACTCGACAAATATCATGTTGGGGAGGACACATCTTAGCAAGTTTGGGAGGATCTAAAAAATACAGGTATAGTTATCAGTTCAAATTCAAAAGAACCGAATAACTACGAAAATGTCAAATTTTAATTCAAAAATGCTGATGTCAAGTTGTAGTAGCTATGTCAATTTTAGGATGTAGAAACTAACTTAGTACAAGAGTATACATTTTGGTTGGTTTGATCCTAGTCTTGCACACAACATAGTTGTTCTCTACTTGACTTGACCAAATAGAAGACAATGTTGTAGGACCATTGGGGTAGATGCTGCGGCTCTGACATTACAACTGGAAAAAATGTCAGTGTATGAGCTTTATGAATGAGGTGAGTGGTGTTGTTCCTTCTTGTTATAGGTGTTGGCTACGTCCAAGACCGACATGCTAGGAAGTCCAAACAAGGTTCTATCAGATTGGACACAAAAGCTGAGTTCCAGAAGGGGACCTATGCTAAAATGCGCGTGCCTATAGACGTCAGCAATTGCTCATGCTTTTTCAAATTTTGGGTTATGGGTATCAACATAATCTCATTATTTTCTGAAGAAAGAAGCAAAAGGGTATGACAAAAACACAGCCTTTGCTTTTGGGTTTGGAGGTATTTTGGTCTGTCCTTCATAATAACTACTGACAAAAGATATAAACTTTATTCCTTTTGCCTCATTTTCTCAATAATAATTGCTCCCTTTCGATTTCAATTGCAATTCAAATGTGCTTTGTTGATAATTTTTAAGTAAAAGATGATCTTTTTTATTTTTTCATCTAATGGGTTATTTTTAAAGTCAATTTTGGCTACCCTTTTGGACCACTAAAGAATGAGAAAGTGCGACCTATTACTACCTCATGGCTACTAAGTTGTACAAAAAAGTATATAGACATTTTTGTTTCTTATATCCCAACCCCACTTTTTTTTCCCTGCTCTCTTCTTTCTTTATTTGCTTACCCCTCCTCCGTACCTTCGTTTCCACTTTCTTTTTTTTTCTTTTTTTTTTGTAAAAAAGTTAAATTAAACACAATTAAATGTGATAATATGTGACATGTAGCTAAATAGATGTGTGTAATGTTCCTCCTCTAATTATGTGTTCAGGTTGAAAGTTTAAGCCAAGCTTGGGATAATGAAGGCAAAGCACCGAGGCTGGCGAGGCACAAACCTAACCTTCCCCGACACATCTCCTGACACAAAACCAAATATGAGCAGCAGCGAATGTTGACCAAAAACTACACCACAGAGAAGCCAAAAGAGAAAAGGAATAAAATGCACGTCCATTCTTTATTGGCCAGCCACTGGAGGGAAAAACATTGCTACTTGTAAATTAATTATCATATATAATAAGGTCGTGCTTTATTTATTTGTTTTACTGTGAAGTGTCATTAGGAACAAAACAAAGACCAGCTGCATAACCAGCATGATCAACCTTAATAAAAATATAAAACTGTCAAGAGGGAGGATAAAAAAAAAGTATAAGCCCTATTACATCGTTAAAATAAGTTAATCATAATAATAAAATGATATTAAATGTATAGTATACACTTAAGTTAGATCCCAATCAAACTCTAAAAGGAAAAGGGAATTACAAAGTTCTACACCATAAGAAGATCCCCAAATTTGTCACCAGTCTATTAGCTGCAAAGCAGGGTGACTGACTCTATTGTCTAGGGTGGATCGAAGGTATCCTTTTGAGATTTATGTCAGCAGTGAGCAGATTTTCCTGTTTAAATGATAATAAATGTCAGTAGAGGCCTTCCAAAAGGAAATTCTCTCCTTGGGATCATATAATTCTATCTACGAAGTTCTATGCCCAGTTGGAGTTGGTGATGCTGATGGACATCGTCTCCCCAACTCATAAGTCATCACTCAACATGATGCTGGAGATGGATCTTTCTTTTTTTTCTTGTTTTTTTTAGTAAATACATAAATTGATCTCTAAAAGCGACAATTTATTTATATTTTGTCCCTGAAAGTTTTGTTCTTTACAATTTAGTCTTCAAATGTGTCAATTTACTCGTATTTTCAACTTTTAAGGAACTAATTGATCCTTGAAAGTATTGAAATGTACAATTTAGTCTCTGAATATATTAATTTTGCTTACAGTTTACTCTCATTCTACCTAGATATTTGTGAGGAAAAATCTACAATGCGAGTAAAATTAACATATTTGAAAATTAACTGAAGATAAGCCATATATTATTTTTAGGGATCGGATCGTGTGTGTGTGTGTGTGAGGGGATATGTTGTCACTGAAATAAGATGGCAAAAGAAAGAGGAGGTATTGGATAATGATTGATACATTTAAGTTTTCCGATGATTGATACATTTAACTTTCTTGGGCCTCTAATTTACGCAATGAATGGCCCATCTTCGTTTTTCTTTCGAGGCGTTATTTGGAAAACAGATTCTAAGAAAAATTAATCAATTATCTTTGTTGAGAGAATTTTCAGAAAAAAAAAAGTGATTATTTCTTCTAATTTAAAATTTACCAAACATGCTATTAACATAAAATGTTTAGCAGTCAATTAGAGCCACACTGGAATATCAAACAGTTGGACAAACGAAAGAATTATGCATGGTGTGTAACAAGTTGTACATCATGTGAAAACTTTACAAATGTGAGTTGATAAGCAAGAGATGTCTGTATTGTAGCATTATTCTATATGATGCATGCTCGTTCCCAGCTACGGTGCACATCTCTGGAAAATGCCAATGCCAATGATAAAAAGCCACTCTTCATTATTCTATTGCCAAATATACAACATTATGTACATTATCCAAAGGCAATTATCACATTAGTGTATGGAAAAAAAAAAAAACTTAGACCGCAGTTTCTTTGAAGCTCTTGGTCAACCAAATAGCTGTTTCCCTTGGAGAAACCTTCTCAGGCCCGAATGGCTTCAGCAACACCCCAAGCTCTTCAAACCTCTGTTGTTGTAGGAGCCTGGCACTGAATTCCAGCAACCCCTCCAATGCCTCGGCACGTTGCTGGTATGATGAGGTGTCAAACCGTTGCTGATGCAATTCAGAAGGGCTTGAAACATCAGCTATCACATGTTCAGAAGAGCATTCACTGCCCTTTGGACCATGGCAAGCATCACTAGCAGTGGTAGGGACAGTAACTTTCTCCACCTGGATTGTACACTTGTCCTTTGTGATTGAGCAATCAGCACTCCCTGCTGAGCTTGAAGAGCAGCGCGCTGATGTTGAAGATGGTCCACAAATAGAGAAAAAGTGATCCTCACAGGAGGCCATTGGGAATTCTACAATCTTGTCAATTTGTGGTGCATTAACAGAAACATCAGGAGAGTTCACACTACCAAGGAGACCAACATTGGTGTACAAGTTTTCTGTGGTTGTGGCTCTTGGAGGCAGTGGAAGGGATGCTCTACGAGTTGGTGTGGAAAACTTTCCAGATTGTGCATGAGAAACTGGAAGCTGAAGTAATAGGCAAATAGAGAGATCAATATATAGCCTGCATTCCCCAATAAAATGTACTTTCAATGCAAATATTGCAAACCTCACCACCTATTAAGCGCACTACTGTGCACTAGTGCAATGTTAATTATCTAAAGAAACTTCACATATGATCCAAAGTAATCGGCGTGATCTCTGCTAATATAGGGTGTAGACATGTTGAACATGCATACAGCATGCACACCCTGCCTAAATGTATCATGTGATACAAATTCAAATATCAAGGCCACTATCTAGGAAAATACAAACCCAATTTTCCTTGCATTAAAATTTGTAGAATTATGGTATGAAGATAACACAATTCTCTACTTCCATCATTGGGAAGAGATCAAGAAGTTAACCAATCAGTTCATCCAGAGTTCAAATCCAATTTTTTTTTCTCTGGCCATCAAAAGAAATGGAAATATTGGGTCGTGCAGAGCCTAAACTTACCAAATCACGCTTTGGATCAGTATGCAGTATCTTGGATGGTGCCATTGTTTGCCTTTTGGCAGTACTGGAATCTTTAACTGCTCTCAATCTTGGTGTTCTCTTAACACTTGAGAACTTAGTGACTTCTGATTTGTCACTGTCACATTTGTCATGGACACGTCCAACAGACAGTTCATAGAGCTTCTCTTCAGAACCAGTGGATAATCCATGTGCTCTTTGAGTAGAACATAAAGAACCTTGTTCAGTTTCAGAAATACTAGGATTGAAGGCCCCGTCATTGCTAAATGACAAGCATTTATCTTGGTCAGAAAGAGTAGAAACAGATTCTGGCTCTACAAACCGAGTTCTCCTTACATAATTTGACTCAGGCCATTGGAATGGAAAAGTAGTTCTTCTAGGGATGTTTAATTTTAGATGAATTTTATGAATGTAAGGCTGAAGATGCGGATGATTTAGTAAATCTGCAGCCTGTCAAAACATACTGCAGTTAATTTGTTTTTAATAATTTCACCAAAATAAAGTTAGCCAAGGGAAAATGCATGTAGAATTTGCATAGACTAGTTATACAAGGGTGGAAAATGAACAAAGAAAATTAACAGAAAATAATTAAAAATGCAAGTATTGCATTGTCTCGTGTTAAATATAATAGCCATTTGCTTATCTTCAAACATCTATATTTGTAGAGTTTCAACTTTCAAAAGTGGAAAACTAAGAGTTCAAATTACTTTTGAAAAAATAATAGAAAGTGAAAATATGAGACCACAAAATCTAAATCTGCATTTAAAATTTTCAGTCTAATGACATCTGAGTCATATTCATCATTTCAAGACAATCAGATGTAAACCACGTAGACAATGATATCTGCATACCATTTTTGTTTTAGAGACTAGTTTTAATCTCAGCTACTCCTTAATAAATGCCAGATAGAACTTACAGTTGGTCTAAGCTCTGGATTTTTCCGCAGCATACTTTTGACAAGCCCTCGACTGAAAGAAGAAATATGTATATATCAAACGATACACAAATCATGTCACTCAATGAGGTCCATGACTTAAGAGGGAAAAATTCTAACTGCAAAGATCAAATGATAATGAGAATCAATGAGATAATATTTACAGGCCAGGGGGTATGTCAGTAGTTAAACAGAACAGATAGCTCACCGCTAAAACAGAGATTTATCATTGCAAAATGTTTAATGTTAAACCAAATACCATGACTGAGTTACATGCCATCTTTCCACCTCTGCCATAATGAATGGTAATATTATGTGAATCGAGTATATTGGAAGATGCTGTCAAGTTTTGAATGACATAACTCTTAACAATTAACATTAATCACTCTATGGATGGACAAGCACTTAAATTTCAATTTCCACAATAATTTTGAAAGCCTGTCAAGGATGACAAAAAATCTAACAGTAGGCCTCATAAACTGTGAATGCCATAGCAGGGTCATTACCAATTACAAATTTGATCAGTATCTGCATGTATGTAAGCTCACATAAGCCAGCAATTGATGATTTTCAAATTACGTTAAGCATAGGCACTAACATATCTGTCAGATAAAGCAAATAAAAATAGATAATTCTGAATAACTAAAGATTCTCATGAAACAGAGGACTCACAAAGCAGCAGAATACATAGTTGGCAGTGGAGCTACTATAGACTTGTTTATTTTGTTAATCAATGCTTGCATATCCTGCTCAATGTATACACAACACAAAAAATAAAAAATTTAAAAGACAATGATTTGATGTTTGCAAACTTCTAAAAAGTGAAATATTGATGGTCAGTCAGCCATCATAAATGAATGAGAAGCAAACATTTTACAAAATAATATAACTCAGTCTCAAACATGACCATGAGTGCTTATAATCCAACAATATGAGAGTTTTACACAAATTATCGTACCCCCAGGTAAATTATCCTACTTAAGATTAAAAAGTTTTATCAATAACATTTTATTTTAAAAAATGAATACAAATAGGAACTAGGATCATAACTTACAAAAGCTTTAAAAGCTGGCTTGTGAGCAGCCATTTCATAAATACAGCATCCTGGCAAATGTTATGTCATAACAAATGACAAATGCAATTAAAAAGATATTGTTTAAAAAAAGGAAAGAAGTGAGTAATTAAGACTACGCAATCTCAGGAGTACAAAAGCAATGTATCCTACCCAAAGACCAGATATCTGACTTAGAGCCATAGGGTATGTCAGCAAGAAGCTCTGGGCACATATAACTCGGAGTCCCAACAACCTAAGTAGTAGAGCACGAACACACAGTAATTAATACAGAAAAAAATCCTGAAACAGTCAACAAATCAGTATTTTTGGCAAAATCACTCACTGAGGAAGCAAGATCATCAGATGTCAACATCTTAGCAAGACCAAAGTCACCTGCATCCAGCAAGTATAACATAAGGATAGTATACTACAAAACAAATTCCAACTCAGAGATCATTTTAGTCTAACAAGCAGTGTGAGGATAAGATAAGTAAGGCCATTTTACCTAGCCGTATATCTTGATCTTTAGTCAAGAATATATTTGAACACTGAAACAGATGAGGAACTAACATCAACATTAAGCTAGTTTTCACCATTCTTTGAGATATTAGCTATATAACATCAATTGTTATTGAACTTGACGAAGTCCTTTACCTTGACATCACGATGAAGAATATGATATACATGCAAGTAATCAAGTGCCATCAGCAATTGAACAAGCCACTTACAAAGTTTCTGTATGCAAAATTTGATGGATATCACTTATTACATATGTTTCCAAAGTGCTTGGAAATAGGAATGAAAATCATCCATCGGGCTCAAATATAAAGGAGTTTCTGCAAGAGTGACCAACCTCTTCAGGAAAGTTAACACAATTAGCCTTTTTAATAGTTTCAGCCCTGTACAACAGAGAAACTATTAAAAGACTACATAAAAGGAAAAAAAATGTGTTAATAAATGCTTTGACTTCCTCAAATTTGAATTTAGTGTGAATAATGACTTACATATCTCCTCCTTCACAATATCCAATGATGATACATACAAAACAACCCTGGAAATAAAGATACCAGACTTGCCAATTTCAGTAACATAAATCAACCAAGTTTACAAACCAATATTGGTTACAAAAGAGGTCCTGATATTAAGATCTCCATTAATACAATTAAAAAAAGCATTCATAAACAGATAAGTAATGAACAACTCATTAAATTTGAAGAATCCAAAATAAGTCACTTTTCTCAAAACATTAAAATGAAAAAGACTCTCGGGCAGCAATCTTAGTATGTTGAGCAACAAATACACAAACCTAAAGCAAGGGAAACAACAGAATTAGAAAGCTCTGATTGAAAAGAAGGCTGACCTTTTCTACCCAGGAATCTTTATACTCCACAATAAATGGATTTCGAACTCTAGATATAAGCTCCATCTGCAAAGAAAAAAACCAACAAAGCATCTTATAATTTCATAAATAACAAAGACAACGTAAATATCATTTTCACATTTTAAGAAATAAAACAACAGGTAGAAAGAGATTAATTTGAAATATTACAATAAGATTTAAATGAAAAGTTGACTGAAATGAATAAAACTTAGGTTTGAGCCTTAAAGGACAACTTCGAATTTTTAAGCTGCAAAGAACCTAGCAAAACATCACATAGAAAATGCACAAGAATGAATGTGTCATTTTTCCATGTCAAAACATGCTGCCTTCCACAACCCCGTAACGCCTCAAGAAAGAGGCAAGCTATTAAAGAACTCAGTTCAGTTTTCCTCTAACATCTGAAGAGTGGAAAGTAAAAAGGAGAGAGGATTACCTCCTGGTGGGCAGACCTGCGGGATCTGTCAGATTGGCGAGCAAGGCGGATCTTCTTAAGGACATATCTAAAACATTATTGACACAAATTAAAAATAAAATAAAATACACTATACCAATTAACCTGCAAAAGGTAATATAATATCTTAAAACACATTTCATGGAGAGAATGAATGATCCTCACTTTTTCTTTTCATGCTTGTGCCTCACAAGCAAAGCAGAACCAAAAGCACCTTTGCCAATCTGTTCCAGAATTTCATACTGCTCCATTTGAACTATAACCACCTCACCTCCTACTATCAATGATAAAGTAACATTCCTATAAATTTTACCAACATTAAGCTCATCATAAAGTAATATTAAAAATAGATGAGACTATAGTGCAATTTTTAAGTTATGATGCCCCTAAACAAACAGAGACCTCATGTAACTTACTAATAAAATGATAGTCAGAACATAATTCAAAAATTAGAGTGAAGTAAAACCTGGATACTTGATTCAGCAAGCTCAATGAGATGACAATTCTGATAACTTCTGCACCAACCAAAGAAGAAATAAGTTACTGCAAAGCCATGGGTTCTAAAAATAATCTGTTCGGACAAAAAACTTATAAGTTATGCTCAAACAACATTATGTCAATATACTAGGTGAAACATCAAAAAACTCTACAGTCTCCACCACCACAGTTGACATTTCAGGCATAACATAACATGCCAGGATTGGTGAATAGTGTCAGTCAATAAAGTTGCCAAATATTATTCTATTTTCTTGTAGTCAATTCAAGGCCCAATCATGAATACAAACAATTGTTTATGACTAAGAAGGATCATACCACTCATTGTGTGACATCAATTTATACAAAACTTAATGAAGGGTGATTGGTGCACTGGTAGTTTCTAAGAGTAGGACCCGATTGGACAGTAATTCCTGAGATTTCAAATACCAAGTTTAATTTTACAATAAAAATTGTTCAACCTTAACATAGAATGCCAAGTGTAGAAATCTTAGATTCCTCTATTTCCAATTTTCCATGAGTTAGCACCCGAAACTTAAGCATCCAAGATTCCAGCATATCTCATACAATCGTGTGAAAATACCAGCATACAACTCATGCGCTTGGCTCATAGTCATAGGCAAAAGGGTTTTTCCTGATTTCTTTTAGAACAAGTCACAACTAATTTCATCTTGCAGCCAGTCCATTCAACACGCATGGCATAACAACTTGCTAAGACAATAAACATATAGACAAGTGTTGAGATTTTGAAATGCTACCTCCGGTAATAGGTGACAAAATTATGTTTAATTTTTTCTGCATTGTTGCCGTTCCCCTAAAATGCATTGCACACACTCATCAGAACCCAGCAATTCACTGGCCCGGCAATTGGTCCCTTGGAAATTCCAACCATTCAGACACATAGAACCCATTTGACTCATCAACCACGAGCTCCTCTCACTATCAGGCATCGATGCCCAACCAATCAATCTCACAGCATCCTTGGAATTCAAATTCAAAACCCCTTTCCCAACCTTAATCCGCGCATCCCTAAAGGGAAGCAAACACTTATCCCTGGCGAAGCCAACACACTTCTCCTTCGCCGCGGCGAAACATTCCGCCATCTCACGCGCTTCACAAAGTTCTCTCTCCTTCAGATCGGAGAGTTTGGGACCCACCAAAGCCTTCCACCAAGGAGGCTTACACTCTCTGGAAGCGCTAACAGCGCAACCAATCCTCGCACCATCCTCACACTGCGCAACGATTTTACGCTCGCAGGCTATGAATGAAGAAGCCCAAGCTCGCGAATCTCTGAAGGCCAGAACGTAGGGACCCGCCGATGGGTCGTCGGAAGGACCCGCCGGTAACGGTCCTCGGAGTAAGGAAATGGGGGGGTCGAATTTGATTACGGTGGAAGAAGGTGAGTAGTCGTCGAGATTGTTCGGTGCGGACGCATCCATCGCCATTGCTAGGGTAAGCGTTTTGGTTAATTGATACAAAAACTCGAAAATCAAATGAGTGCTGAGCAGAGAAGCATAATTGAAAAAGTGAAAATGAAGCAGTAGAAAATTTAGCCGTTGATCAGGAAATTCAATTTCAACCGTTATATCTCATGTACTATAGAACTCCTGCCTCTCATAGTCGCCGATATGTTATAGATGGCGTATTCTATTGTAGATGTCGGCCTCGCTCTCCGCCGCAATTTCATTTAGTGGCAAGAGATGGGGAACTTGTTTCAGAGGTTGGAACCCTCGGCGAGCACAGAGTAAAAACTAGAATCGAAGTTTATCACAAAAATATATAATTTAAAATATTGAAAGAAATTAATATATTTTTAGCCTTAATTATATTTTTATTTCTATTAAAAAGCATATTTTAGAATTTGTCATAAAAAATATTATTAGAATTTGATCCAAACATTTTTTAAATGATTAAAATATATTTTTCCGTTAACGTTTTTTTGTTAAATAATAAACAAAGAATGAAAGTTTAATTCATTATTTACATTGTCATATTATTTTTAATATTTTTTAAAAAAAATTTAAAAATTAATAATCAATCTAAATATTTTTAAATCTTTTTCTTTTGAATCTTTTCTTTTACATATAAAATAAAATAAAAAATTATCAAAACATAGTATTTTGAAGAAAAATTACAAAAGAGTGAGATTTTTCAAAATTTGTCAGTATAATTTTTGACAAATTTTTTTTTGTTTTTTTAACAAAATCATTAATGGTAATCTTTTATTTTTTATATATTTTTAAAAAATGTTAATGACAATTTTTAAAATTTGGTAACTTTTTATCATTTTAGTATACTTACACAAAAAAATATCTACGACAATTTTTAAAATTTTTAAAAATATAATATATATATATATATATTATATATCAAATTTCGTATATAAAAAATTAATCTCTTCTTTATTAAAAATAAAAATAAGTTTAATTTATTTAATAATTTTAAAATTTAAATTTAATCTATTATTTATTATATATTATTTATTAACTCTAACCTCACTTTTTCAAAATCTGTTTTAATTTATTGATTTTTTAAATAATCTATTTTATATTAAGACTTTTGATAAGTCATTAAATTTTTTTATAAATAAGTTACTAAACTATCTAAATAAATATGTTTTTATAAAAATTATAAAATTTATATTTAAATAAATTATTAAAAATTGATTTAAAACTTTAAATATATATGATAAAATTATATATTTATATTTTATCAAAATACATATCAAAATAAATTAAATTATAATAATAAAAAAATTTCAATAAATAAAATTATTTCTTTTAAAAGATATATAATAAGATATTCTTCAACTCTAATAAAAAGAATTAAAATTTATAATTTTAATTTTAATTTATTTAATATATTATTATAATATAATTTTAATATAAAAATATTTAATATATTATTATAAATTTTAAATAAATTTAATAAATTTATTTTAAAATTTATTAAATTTAATTTATTTAATTAATTAAACTTTTTAAAAATTTTAAATTAAATTTATCACTTAAATAAGCCACTTTTACAGAGGAATTGAAAAATCGATTTTCAGCTCCAGAACATATTTTAGTTCCGGATGCAAGGCCACTAGTAAAGCCAAAAGATTCAATAATGAGGGTAGCTAGTTAACATTTTCTGCAGTAAAGATCAGGAATCTGGGAAAAGAAATAGAACAAGGCTAAAAATCAGGTAAGCAGTTAACACTTTCTGACAAACGTCCAACTCTCTCATTAAGGGAGTCATCAATTCGAAAATATAAACCCCAAGTTTCTAGGTTGTCATACTTTGCACATAAAAAGGCTACCATACAATACAAGAGATATGTAATAAAGAGCACCGAATGTGACCAACCAATTACAGTGTGGTTTTTTAACTTACTTTAATTATCCAAGGCCTTAACCGGCAACTTTGAGGTCCTGTTGAATAGGCTGTCCATAACATCTTCAGTTCCAAGGATTGATCATCCTTGCTTCCATCTCCTTATTAATCTTATCCAGGAAGAAAGACATGTTTAAAGACCGTCGCACCCAAAAAAATTATTCATTTTGAGGGAAAAATAAAACTCAAAACATTCTCACTAAAAAATGGAACAAAAGGCAGAACATCAACTTCATTGAAAAACCCAGTAACATTACATCCGATTTTCCAAGTCAGCGTAATTTCAAATAATATGGGTAAAGTTCAGTTCATCAAGGTGGCAGTTAATCGTATACCTTCATGTTTTGACAAGCTAAGAAATTTGCCAATAAATTAATAACCAGAAATGACAAAAAAAAAAGTGTTCGGGCATCGAACACGTTAATTTCCCAGTGATGAAAACTGAAAAATGAAACGGAAAACAAAGGGAGAGGGATGGAAATGGAACTCCCAGTAACATACACACAGCAGAGCAAAAAGTAGGAAACCCACTGGGCAAAAACTAAATACAGAAAACAAGAAGAGCAGAAATTTGCAATTTGCAATGAAACTAACCTGAATTTATGAAATTGGAAACGCAAATTGGCAGAGTTAAAGAGAAATTTGCAGCTGCAGTTATGAGAAGCGAGCATGAAGCACGAGCAGGCCTTGTTAATATTATATTATAACTATATAATATAATGTAACAATTTGACATATGATATTATAATATTGTTAATGTTGCGTTTAATTTTGAAATGAAGCAATGAATGTTAGAAAGAGAGAGAGCGCCAAAAGAAAAGAAGGATTAGAGCGAACGGAAAAGCGACGTGTGATTGAAAAATAATGCAAAGAGAGTGACTAACACCGTATTTGGGGAAAAGGTGAGCACTCAAAGACAAAAAAAAAAGAAAAAGAAAAAAGGTGCGCGGGTGAACGTTCCCCATTCCCAACCCTACCTCTCTCGGGTAGGTAATAGGTATGCCATCTTTCTTTTTTCATTCAAATTTTATTTTTTAATCTTTCTACAACATTTCTTTTACCAATCTTTTTATTTATTAATCAAAGCATATACTAACATTTTTTAAGATTTAAAAATTATAAATTATTTTTTCTTTAAATATATTATTTCTAATTTATATTTTATTTATTAATTCTTTACTAGTACTTTGATTTACATAAGAGTGTTAATTTTTTTTATATTTTTAAGGCGTTAAATATTTTTATTTTTGTTTAATAGATATTTATAAGACATGTGGAGGATTGATAAGAAGATTTTTTTGGTAATATACATGTGTTAATTATTTTGTGGAGCTTTTTTATCTTAGTTTGGTCTTTATCCTTTTTTATTTTAATTTCTTCACTTTGTTAAGTTATTAATTTTAATGGTGATGAAAAAAGGTGAAAGCCTACCTGAGAGTTTAAATAAAGATACGAGACAGAGAATTTAACTTAACCTGTCTAGCTTTTATTTGATTATGACGTTTCTTTGAAAAAAAAGACTAAAGCTTATTTGACTCTAAAGTCAAGTGTGGATGAATAGAGATTATTATTATAAAAATTATGGATGCTTGGGTCATTGAATTCTAAAATATAAATTACTTAAGAGTATATTTGTTTTCTATTTCGAAAGAGTTTTTTGTTTTTAAAAATAAAATATAATGTAAATTTATATTATATTTTATTTTGAAACTTCTTAAATATTTTTTTAAAAAAATCTCTGCTTTTTTTTTTAAGTAAGACGCACCTAGACTAGACCAAACAACAGTGCATGCATAAAAGGACCAAAAAAACAATACAATTCCCTTTTATACTTTTGAAATGCTTGAATCCTTAAATTAATTGTGTACTGACATTTTGAAGAAAATAATGATAAGACTACGTTATCGGGCAAGGGAATATTAATGCATTTATTATCAGAAGAAGTTACCATAATAGTTTTAATATAAAATAAACCAATATAAACACACATAATATATATTGAATTTAATAAAAAAATTGTCTATAACAAGTTAACTTTTTTTCCTAAAAAAATGGTAATTCTCCTGTTGATGCAAACAACAATTGATGGAATCGGTGATTCTCCTACTTTACAATTCAAAAACGACAATTGTCCCAAATTTCAATTTAAAAATGAGTAAATAAGTGTTCACGCTAATTGATAACATTCTTTAACGTGCAAATGAGAAACGCTAGGAATGCATGTTTTTTAATATATACTTAATATTAGTTAAGATTTATTGAAATTTATAAAAATTATATATATATTTTTTTTTACTTTCACTTTTATTTTTTAACACATTTTTTAATATATATTTAACCATTGATTAAAATTTATTTAAAATTATAAAAATATAAATTTCACTTTTTCTCAATTTCAATTTAATATTTTTATCTGATGCAAAATTTCAAATGTAACAATTTAATCCTTTCATCACACCTCCATCTAAAAATTGACAAATATGATTATGTTAGTAACTTTTATATTAATTAATAAATAATATGTGTATTCTTTAAACATAATTGAATGAAAAATTGTGACAAAAAGTCACACGCGGTCCATGCAAGGCTCTATTTTCTCCTTCTATTATATATGGAGATTTCTTCTACATATTTGACCACAAAACTATATAAAACGTGCTAAAAAAAAATTATGAGAATTATAAGTTATTTTCACATGCTCTTATAAATCGAGTCTTAATTTGATTGTGGTTAAAAGATGCACATATTACTTATCAGCTTAAATTAAAGTCAGTGATACCATATCATATTGTGTTTAAATTTAAATTTTTGTGTGAAAATATAATGAAAAGACTAAGAATATGTTTGGATGTCTGTTGAAAAATATGATACGTGCGTCTGAAACGTATAAGCTAGTCTATGGAACGTTCAATTGAACATGAATCTGGGACTACCAATGGAAATCCAAACATGTATTATATTGTTATATTTTGAAATGTCAAAGACCAAAATTACACATATCACGTAATTGGAGGATAAAAATACATTTAATCCATAATTTTATTATCTTTTATCAATTTTATTTTGTTTCATGTTTTAATTTAGTACTTGTATTATGGATTTAAAATGATTATTTCAAGTAATGAAGCATTCAACGATGAATTGAATAAAACTATGTTTTCAACCATTGATCTGATTATTACACAACAATTGAAAAAGAGAAAAAATAAAATGCAAATTTGATTGTAGAAAGATGGTGATGAAAATTTTTTTAAGTGGTTCGCAACCACTTGCATTTTACCACGTGTTTAATATTTTATAGAAGTATATATTAGTTAATAGTTTTGAAGGATGGAACAATTTTTCGTGATATACAA